CGAGGAAATGTCCGGTTTTAAATATCTTGGGTCCACTCTAATACTAAATAGCCAGGCAAAACACGATATTATAACCCCGATCACCGCAGTTAGAAATGCGTTCTTCAGGTTGACGAAACCTTTATAGAGTTGTCGTGAAATTACCATTAAGACAAAAGTCCGCACCTATATAGCCGTGATCCGTTCGATCTTACTAAATGGTTCTGAGACATGGTCAATGAGAGTGGAAGATATTAAAAAGTTATCTGCCTTTGACCACTCTTGTCTAAGGTACATATTACGGATCCGTCGAGCGGATAAGATATCACATGATCGCATCCATCTTCGTTCAAATACCACTTGCATAAATAATGTAATGTTATCACAGAGCGCCGCTTTCGCTGGTTATGGCACATTCTCCGTCATTCATCACAGGAGTTGACGCATATTTCGTTATTTGCAAAACCGTGTGATGGTTGCAATCAAAAACGAGATAGGCCATTAAAGACCTGGACTGATACGGTGAAAAAAGATTTTGAAGGTATAGGTGGACCAGCAATATATAGACTTAGACGATGGAAAAACGAATGGCTTCCATTACTGTCGACGATGGCATCAGCCGCGCCGCTTGGAAGTGTCTTACCCTTCTAGCCGTTGGAGCCAGCCTAACCAGTAATTGTGAGAGTTGTTAGAAGAAGAAGAATCTTTAATAACACTAGGGTTTCATTTTTAATAGCATGGTTTATTCATTTCAAGGAAGGCGGATTGAACTAAAAAATTAGAATTGTTCATATCATATCTTACAAACCTCAAACTTACAAACTTTTCTTACAAACTTTTTTTAAAAAGCTTCTTAGATCAAATTTTTTCGTACAAGAATATCAATGAAAAGTAATTTTGTAGTAACTCATATGAAGAGAATTCCAAAGCGGTGGATGTTTTCGGACATGAATGAGTTTTTGCTGAAGATTGAAGATTCATGAAGACTGTAATTCTATTAAAACATTAATGGATGAAGATGTGCGCTACTCCATTCCACTGTGTGCCATATAAATTTAAACAAATAAATTTCGATCTCAAGTATAAGGCAACATAAAGAAAAGAAAGAAAAAAGATTATTTCAGGAACCATTTTTAAACGTGAAAACTTGTTCATTAAGTTGAAAACTTTCATGAACCCACCCTATTTGTTTCAATAATCTTTGCAAATTTTTACAACTGCCTTCTTTATGTTCGTTGGTCTATGAGATTTGTTTAAACACATTTAATAGTAAATTTTCGTGGATTTGTAACAGAACTTTTGCGCATACAGTATCTTGCGTATACAGTATTTTTTTTAGATCGATAAGAATCTTAATAAAAGAAAAACAATATTAATAAAATACAAAAATTTCATGAAACGTACAGTCAAACAGAAAAATTTATTTTCTGTAAAAATTTACTAGATTTCGCAATTTAGTTGGATTTTTATGAACTATCTACTATACTACTTTTTGTGCAATGCTGTCTCAATTGCTCCAAACCATCTTACCTTTTCTTTATTGTTGTGACTACGAATTAAATTAATACATCATTTTATAGGAAATTTAAAATTTCAATTAGCTAATAAAGGTATTTTACAAAATAAATCAAATCATATAATACTTTGTAATTAAATTAATTTCTTTAATACTAGAACTGCTATTATCCGACACCAAAAATGGCTAACAATACATGGAAGATGAATTGAAAAAAGGTCACATTTATAATATTAAGTTCATTTTTCATTATAAGAAGTTTCATAAATAAATAATTTACTTTGATTCACTTTTGTAGGTCTTAAATTCTACAATCCGGGTTTAAAGTGATCCCAAGACTGATAAATAAAATATGTTCGCAAGCCAGGATAATTCTCGAAACCTATCAAGAGGAAAAGCCCTCTGCACGCGTGGCAAAGTTTTAGCCGTATCGGCGTGGAACGTCAGCACGCTTATGGACGTTGCAAGCCAAACGATCACTGTCCACACCCTTTCTAAATCGTGTGGATATCGCTTGCTTGTCGGAGGTCCATCTTCTTTATATGAAGTTTCATAAATAAATAATTTGCTTTGATTCACTTTCGTAGGTCATAAATTCTATCGTCTCGTCAAGATCAAGCCTTAGCGAATTAGTTGACAAAGCCACGAAATGTTGGTTTAATGATATATATTAATTAGTTATAAAATTTTTCTTCAATGAAGATTTCAACTACTCGGTCGAAAATATTTGGGTAAAAAATATGGTTTTTTTATTTTTTGACCCTAGATTACATAATATAAAAGGAAGAAATTATCTAAGATAAATTATTGATGCAATAAATCTTTCTTCTAAAAACATTCACCTTTCTGCTGAATATAGGAGAACCTTTTCGCAAGAGAATCATTTGGAAAGAAAGTGATTCTTAGAACACTTAAGATATATGACATTAAGATATTAAAAACAAAAACAAATTGTGCAGAAAATCATCCAAATATATGATATTATTGTAACGAAATTAAATTATCTTTAATAAGGCAGCGCAAATCAAATTATTTTTTGGAATTTGGGGGTCTTAAGACTCTGAAATTCAAGCTTTTTCAGAAATTAGTTAGGCTAAACTAATATCTAATACTAATATTCGAAATTTCTGTGCAGAAAAAGATGGAAACAATGGATGTTTCCAACTAAGAAAGGACATTATAAGATTACATTTCATGTGGAGATATTTCTTGCAATTTTTATGTTTCTCAAAAGGCAATTCGCCGCTATTTCTGCTCAAAATTTTTTTAAATGATTGAAATTCAACTTAAAACTATTTGTCTGATTTTATCAAATATTTATCACTCTATTATTTGGTATTTTTCTCGTGTTTTCTTATTTATTCTTATTTATCAGTGTTTAAGCTGAGATGGGTCAAAGGACATAACATATGCAATAAGATCATAGCTACCTTCCATTATTAAATTTGACCAACAAAACCTCGATATTTGTAGGCTGCATTTTTCAACAGCACTTACCACTTATATCATCGATTGCCTCTAATTTTCTCGAATCTTTTCTCGCAATCTCGAGATCTCCGGATCTCTCATCAATGTGTCATCCTAATGGCAGTATAAGTCAGCTGTGAAAATGATACCGCTCTCACTGTTTTTATTTCTTGTCTTAATTCCTTCTTGGTTAATAGCTACTCAATTAATCGATCAGAGTGGTTCTCAAGCAGAAGAAGTTCTTGGTGAGTCAGTCGGATTGGGCGCTGGTAATGCTAATCCGTTATCAACACTCGAAACGTTATCTGTTAGATCTCATCAACCATTGAAAGGATTTGGAGATAAGGCCGACTTGAAACCACCTTATAATGGTGAACAAATCCCTGCTGGAATTTATTTTCGTATTAGTCAAAAGGTATTCCTTATTATTGCTTATTTGACTGATTCTTTTGTCACATTGATGTTAAAATCTACTTATTTATATAAAGGATTGTAGGGAATAGATTATATAACGGAATTGGCTGCCAAAGCATTACCTGAATTACTTGAAAAAGCTGTAATTCCAACTGTTGAACAACCACAAATTAAAATCTCGAAACTTACTATAGAAAATTTCGTCAAACCAGAAATAAAAGCAAATTTTGTTGATGGACTGGGTATGTCTGTTTCGCTATTATGCCATTTTCTTCTTTTTTTTAAGGTCAAGATCGTCGAGTAGTATATTTCTTCGATTAAGGTCAAGCACCAGGTTTCAGTACATCGACGACAGTAAATCCGTCATTAAATGAATTCCGAGTGGTGTAAGGCATATACCCAAGGCATTCTCTAGCGAAGAAGTTTCAGATCCAATAGTCATTGTACCCATAAGTGCATTAGTGCATATGCAAATTTTTATGCAACTGTAAAGTAATTTTATTCGAATAGAAGTTGGTCATTGATGATTTAAGACAAAGGCTTCTTATTTTAGGCGTTGGTGCTAATGTTTATCTTCCACTTGTTACTGTTACTGCCATATATGATGCATCAACATTTTTCTCCACTTATACGGGAAAATTCAAGGCTGAAATTGAGAATTTAACAATAAATATGGAAGTGCATATAAGCCGCAATGAAGATGCGAAATTAAATATTATTAAGGTGAGTTTGACAATTTCTAGCGTTTCGAAGTTTCGATTTAATAAATTATCCATAAATCTAAAAAGTTGAAAATCAAGTCACGAAGTGGACTAAAATTTTTATAGACTCCATTGTGCGACATTTCATCAACCAGTATTCGTATTGTTTTCGTTGGGGACATGTCAACCTATCTGAATTTAATGAGGTTACAATTTGTGCAACTTTATCAATTATAAAATATGATATCATTATGAAACAAATCTGTAACTACAGTTGCAAAACAGTCGTTTAAAATCTATTTTTACTCTGGTAAAAAGTAAAATATTTTCTATTTTTTGCTGAATATTTATTCAATTTTCTTCTGTTTTTAATTAAAAATTAATTTTCATGTTGCTTATAACTGTATTAGATGGAACAAAATAATTTGTGCATAGACCCACTGCTAAATTATCAACTATCAACTATATTAACCTTTAAATTATAAATACAATTTATAATTTTGACAGGCTAAGATGAATTTATATAAATATAGATCGCTGATCGAACAAAGTGTGATCAATGTTCTTGGAAATGAAATTTGTCAAATACCGATAAAAGTGACACATTTCTTTGAACAGCAGAAACGGCACGTAAGCTAATTTTTTTAGAATTCAACGATCCATCAGATTTTCTCAAAACTTCATTGAATTTCGTTCGAAATAAACAATAATTTTATATCAAAAAATTTCAAAAAACTTTATATCAAATGAAAAAATTTCGTAGGTAAATTTTATTAGATTGTTGCAAAAATTGTTTTCGTCTGGCTTTTATTAAAATCATTTTAGTTGAATATTCACTGAAATCATGTTTGCTAAATCACAATTATTACATTAAAAAAATTTATCGGGGTTACTGTGGAGAAAGTTGTTTACAAAAAACAATTCAACAATTATTTCAAATATTCATATTTTTTCCTTCTTAGCTCCATTATTCGTGCAAGACCTCTTACATTTCAGATGAAGAACATTTAGTTCTAGCTAGCTATAAGTGGAAGTAAACGATTAATACAACTATTCGTTCAGATCTTAATGACAACTGCATCTCCACAACCTACAACTCCCACGCCAACTCATCTTCTTGTTTATGGAGCAAAATTCGAAGAATCTTTTCCAACTTATCATACAACTGTCGAAGAACACGGTGATGATGATATTGATGAAGATAATCCTTTCTACAATGAAGCGGAAGAGGTCTTATATACAGTTTTCTAACAGTTGGATGATCTTTGGTGTAGGGAAAATAGCAATACAGTAACAATGATTTATAAGCCGGCAAAAAATAGATTTAGATCCGGAGAACCTTATGTGAAATACAGAACTTTTCATCAATGATGTCATTTGAGGAAGAAGAAGACTTAGCAGCGAAATTTGCTGCTGATTTATGTGCTGAAGATCGCCTTGATATGGGAAATGATGTATTAATGTCTGGTGAGCAAATACATTTGGAAAAAAGAAAAAGAAGTATAAATGATGTGCAAAGATTGAATCCATTACTCAAAGAGGGCCAATGGGCACCAGATCTGACTTTAATGTATCCGCCTAAATTTACCAATGAGGTAAAAATTACTTATAATGAAGTTAATATCGCCACAGAAATAACTCTAAATAAACTTAGGAAAAGATTTTCAATAGGTGCGTTTTCATTTTGATATTCATGGTCTTCTATGGCTGATAGCCAATTTCACAGAAAGTACTCTCGCGATTGATAAAGTCATTCTGTGCAAATTCTTTAGGATTTTTGGAGATACATTAAAAAACGATACTGTTTCGCGTAGTTTAATCGAAAGAAAGTATTAATATTTTTAACTCTAAGCTTCATTCTGTGGGATAATTTGACCCAAACATGGCTTTCTTCGTGTTCTCCTAATAGCGCATCATTATTAATTAGGCTTTCCACTTCAGTTATCGCGAAGTTTAAAGAAGCCACAAAAAAATAAGCGAAAAACGAAAGTTGCATAAGACATAAGAGTTTTATAAATTTTTTCGCACAGAAATCACAAAAAAATTTTTTTCACATTTCTAGGACGTAGTTTTCGGCCTGGATGGTGGAATCATTTTCTTTGGGCAAAAGGCTACCAATATTTCAAGACCACATATGCTTAATGTATCAGCTCTTGGTGACCAAGTAAATTAGATTTAGATTTTAAAGTTGGTTAAACGATCTAAAGATGGATACTAATAATAATTTTAACTTTTGTGATGATTTTCATTTTTTATTTTCTTATTTATTTATATTTTGCTGCGAAACTTTCGTGAAACATTAATTATTCCTTTTCTTTCATTGATAATTTAGAAATCGAGTTTCGCAAATGCCGCATATAATCGAATTTTTGATCAATATATCAAAATTCCTTGATGTTTTCAGATGTTTGGACTTTTAGTTAGCGAATATGTTCCAAATACATTTTTCTCCCACGTATATAACAATCGCCTTGGCATTATTCAAGAAACTTTCAAAGCGAATAATTTGCCGAAATTTGCAAGGTTGTTGGCCAAAATGGTTTGTTCAAATTGTCAGCTTCAGTTAATTGCCAATTTAACCAGGTTTTTTTTTCAGTATAGTTAAATTTTACACGAACTGGCCATAAATATTTAAAACAAACCGTGTGATATTTAAATTCGAATTTAAATTATTTTCTGTTAATAAACCAAATTCTATTCATTAAAAACATCAAATTTGATTAATGGATTCTCTCTTTAATCTTTTCTCAATTGTTTATTTATCAATTGCCATTTTTATTTAGTAGAAATTTCTTATGAAACGAAAAATTGAGCAATATTGAACGTTTTAAAATCTATCAATCTATTTTCTTTAAATTTAAGTCGCCCCGAACTGCGTGTCGATAGAGCAGGTGTACAGCTAGATATTGAAGGAGAAATTGGAATAATCTTTGTAGCGAAAAGTAAAACGAGGACATTGGTGAATGCATACACCAAGCTCGATATAACGGTGATCCATTCTTATTTACATCTGAAGCTCTGAAAATGATTCTCGTTAATCTTGGTTAATAATTTAAGTAATAATATGAAAACATAAGATAGTATGATGTAATCAGTGTATCTACTGGACTGTACAACCTGTCTGAAAACGATTTGAAAATTGTCTTTGTATACAGTGATACAGTGATAATTTGAAATAATTCCTCCTCTGCCATCTTCTCTCATTTACTTTAGCTTGTTTTCCTTGTTCATTGCTGACCGTGGCTTATAATGGAAACAACTGTGAAAATATTCAAGAAATCAAACTCAAATTTTAAATATCCTTGTTCATCTTCTTTTGCACTTAATGTAACGATTTTGCATATGATTTTGCTCATAATGAGCGTCTTTTTTCGTGAAAAAAGTCAATAATAAATATGAAGAAATAAATAAATATTTATTTCGGATTTTTTAGATTCGTCCATACTTAAAACATAGTCGAATCTATGGTGAAGTTGCGCTCACTGGCGTTGACATAAAAATTAAAGGGGTATTTATTTATTAATCAAAAAATTTACTAACAAGTAAACAATCGCTATTATAAATAATTAAGATTCAGTTTTTAAACCACTAAATACTGCACATTATAATTTTCCTATATTTCAGTTTTTAATGATTAAAAGGGGCCTTAAAAATTTCAAGTAAGAAAATTAAGATTTCAGATGGGAGTCAGTGGAGTATTTTCAAAGTCGATTAAAAAAGCTTTGAATGCAGTTGTACCGAGAAAACTATGGCCCAAGATCAAAAAGCGCCTGCGTTTTGCGCTTAGCCAAAGAGGTTGGTTATTGGCATTATTTCAAAAGCATTCTTTTAAAAAATTTCGTTGCTGATAATCTTTTGTACTTTGTTAAAACTCGAATATAAATTTAAGGCATAAAATTACCTGTGATGTGCGGTGTTGAATTAGAACGACCATCATTAAGCTATATTGATCATGCCATTGTCATTGATACTGATTTTAGGTTATCTTTTTGATGAATTATATTTTAAATTATATAATATATATAAATTATTTCACATTTTAATATATATTTTTTCTAAAAGCTCACCATTAGTAGTAGCTTCGCTGGTTTGTCTTTCCAAACAAATTTCGCCAAAAAGCCATACTTGGCAACAAATACAAGTGGGTCGTCATGGATTTTATGTTTCTAGCTATGACCTACCACGTTTCATACGCAAATTCAAAGCTTACATCGGTGCAGAAGTAGCTCGAGCTAAGAAGAAGCAACAACTTGAAAGTGAAGAAGAATATGAAGGAATACATTATCTTTGAATATAATTTTTTTTAAAATTTTAGTCCAAGTAATAAAGCTTGTGCCATAATATCTTTTGTATATATGACGTAGAATTTGAATAACATAGATTGACTAGCAAAAATCTTTCAAATTGGATTTTTACTCCTATTAGCATAAGGTCCTTGCTTATATTATATCTTTTAAAATATATGCAACATAATCAGTTATTAAATTAAATTTAAACAAATATATTATTTTTATTGAAAGTGTCGTATACTTTTTATAACTTTTACTAATATTTTTGTAATATTTTTTAATTTAGCTCCATTAGCTCCTTCTAAATATTTTTTATAGCTAGGCAATACTGTTTAATTGTTAATGCCTTTGCAATGATATTTTCTGTTAATCAGATCCCTAAACTTTATTTTCGGTCCTAAATGAAAAAATATATTTAAATAATAAACTTAATTTAAATATATTTAAAATATATTTAAATAAAAGTGGGCAAGATTCTATGCTAAAATTTTACAGCTGTCCATTTTCACGCTTCTCATAACCACTTCTCATAATAAAACATCAATAAATTTGACATATTGGGAAATCATCAAGAAATGAAATAATCTGTGTTCATTCGTATTAACTATATGCTATTTTGATGCATCACCAAATTAATCGGATTTTTTGCATGTTGCGATGATTCAAGTGACCACAAATATTTGGAATGTCGAAAATTGAATTTTTTCCTGTGACTATTCGGAATTTAAAAAGTGCTAATGTTCGGAAATATATAGTTAATTGAATGAAATAATAATAATGAAGCACAATATTTATTAGGACGAGATAAAGCAGCAAATATAATGATAATAAAATGCCGTAAGGTTGATTGACAAGGTCAAGGGAACAGACCAAATTTTTAGATTCGGAAACCCACAGGTTGTATCTTGATTTAATCGCCATTTCGAAGTGATCATTTTACTCAACATTTAAAGCAATGAAAAAGCTAAAAAACGATTTTCGATTCCATCACTCGATTAAAATAAATAAAAATTATTCATATACTTTAGCCATGCTTAAATGTGAATAAGAAAATATTTTAACAACCGACAAAATATAAAAAATCAAATCCAAAATATTTACAAAATAAGAATGACTTGAGTTCGATATAAAATGCAAACAGAAACGACAAAGGGAATAATACTACAGGCAAATCCATCAATAAAGGACTTCCGTCTGTTTTATATTTATATTCAATTTAGTAGAAATAAATAACACCAAAGTTTTAAAATTCTATTCTATGGTAAAGAATTTTGAAAAACTAAGTCATTAACCACAAAAAGTAATTCTCAGTAAAAATAGAATTAGGACTTTGGATTTGGTTCAACAGCTATCAAAACATATTAGATGATTTGAAAGTTCAAAAAGTTTATTTGCGATTCTCCAATGATTATAGCCAATTTAAATCGAAAGTCGTGAAATTTTAGATCGGACAACACCATGTCCTGTCATGCTGAAAATCTTTCAAGTTACTATGGATGAAATAGATTAAACTTAGCAGCAAAGCAGAATTAGCTAAAACCAGCCAAAAAAAAGACCTGGATTAGGAAGCATTCGAATTGAAAGATGTACTAAAATATCATTTAATATTTTTATAGAAGATGAAAAAATTGTTGTAAAGTTTTTATAGCCTAAATCAACAAATTTTTGCAAAAAAATGAATGAAAGTCCAGAATCTTAATGATAAATCTCAAACGAGTAAAATATGAAAGCTCGACGACTTCAGTTTATCTGACCACTTCATAAAAACTTCGGATACAAATTTTTATTCGATTTGCATCTGAACTTCTTTCGAATATGCATTAATACATGCTTTATAAGCAAAAAAAATTTTTTTAAAGAAGCAGATTCTCGAATTTCGTAGCAAAATTTTGCAAATCTTTACTTCTAACAAATTCAAAACAACAGTAAAAAAAATCAAGTGAATTTGCCAGTGAATCCATCAACTATCGTGGGCAACAAAAGTCAAAGATAAAAGCGCAGATAACAAATAAGCCAATAGAAAAAATTTTGGAAGAAAAAAAAAAAATTTCACAACGGAGTTCTGAATGTTTCACCTTGAGGATAATAAATTCAGGCAATTTAACTCGTCGAATGAGGAAGAACCTAGCCAGTAAAGAACAACATCTATGAATAATGAGGTAACCAAAGCTAGAAAACATGAAAGCAAAAACAGTAAAAAGTTAAATCACAACATTGATATAATTATTTTTCATAGCCATGCATGATTTGTATAAGCGATTCAGTAATGTAAAAAAAACTAAGCAGTGCTCTTAAGTATTTTTGGCTACGTTTTGACATGAAAAATCCGAGTATTTGATAAATACCTCCGACATGGATTCTTGTTCGATGTATATCTGAATCTCTTTCGGACCGATAACGGCTAGAATATCGTGGAGTCGAATAGTTTTGAGAAAATCTGCAAAATATTAGTCTACAAAACTGGAATCTCATTCGAATTTGCTTTTTTTCGATTCGATCAATCAACTTGAACTGAAAGCTATCTATCTAAACGGTTCAGCGTCAAACACGACATTTTTTTTAACTCTTCCATATGTGTTTCTGCTTTATACTGATGCAGCTTAGTAAGTTGTTCAACTTATGATGCACAGACTATTCTGAAATGAAATTACGAAGTAGATCTTAAATTTTTTTTGAGTTTGAGTTGAGTTCATTGAAATAGGATGGTAGTGAACGAATATTCTATAAAAGAATCATTCAAAGAATCTTTCACTCACTAATTTAATTTTACTTTTTTCGAAAACTCCTGGATTACCAAATAATTCAAATTTATCATTTTAAAGGCAAATATAAATTGTATCCCATAATACAAGAATTGATCATGCAAAATGCTAAATCAGCAATGAAAAATATGATAAACTTTGTACCGAAAAAAATGCTAAAATTTATTATAAATTTATAAATATTTTACGGTGATTTGGTGAATTACATAACAAAGTAAAGCTGGCAAAAAAAAGAGATTTTCTATTAATAATTTCGTATTGGTTTTCTTAAATTTTCACTTCACTGAATCAAAAACATTCAAATTTCATGAGTTTGCCAACTTGTGCTAAGCAAATATAGGAAAGCAAATATAGAATTACTATTAAAGAATGATGAGTATTTTAAGAAAATACAAATTTTAACAGAAAAACATGCGAAAAAAAGCCGATGATAGTCGAAAAATGCAAAAAAATTGAGATTCTTAACATCCTGATAGCGAAGTGATACGATAAGAGCGGATCATATTTAATGATAGTTTAGCCTAGGTTACTAGCATAGAAAGAGCTCTAAAAGATTTTTCGATATAGGAAATTCAGCGTTCTCATAGATCAGACGTAGATTAAAACTAATGTGAACAATGGTAACTTATTGCAACTTATTTTAACTTAAATTAAATTAAATAGGGGTTATTATGAATATGGAGTATGAACATGAACATGGTATTATGACAAGCACATTGTTCGCAAACCACTGCAAAAGAAGCAATAACTAGGCAGCTTTGAAGGCAAAAAATGATGAAATTGGCTTTTTTGATGTTTTTTTAAACAAATATGCCGATCATTTCAAGTATTTATACTTTATAATATCGGAATATTTGAGGTTTAATAGAATTTGAATTGATTTATTGTTAAATAATTTTTAGCTCAAAATGGAAACTTGTTTTTTCTCGAAAAATTTAAAAAAAATCACTTGTCTCGTTTAATAACCTGTAAAGCGGCATCGATGACGAACAGAACTGCACAAAGAAAAAGAAAAGCCTGCAATTAACTATTTGCATGTTCTGCAGGTGATTTTTTAAGGATAATAATTGCCAAAACTAGCATAGAAAACAAAGAAACTAAAAGCTCTGGAAATGTTCATAACTTACCGCTGCAACTGCCCATCCTTTAACAACGAATACGATGGAACAGGTTGGAACACCGAGGCAACCACTGAATTGGCCATTAGCAATATGTCTTATTAAAATTGACATATGATTAAATCCAGTCGCATACCATGTTTCAACACCTCCTAATATCAAATAAATGCATGCCGATATTCCCGATATGAAAATTTGCTGAAATGTGTCATTTTTATATAAGAATTGTCCATTAAAACCATTTTGTTAACGTGATATTAGAATTATTATCAATTGAAAATAGCAAAGAAAAAAAATTATTTTTACAGGCAATGTGAGTGAATTTCCTGTAGTAATTTGAAAACAACTGCATCCAAGAGGTGGTAGTGCAAAAAGAAAGGCGATTATTACAATTGCAAGTTGGCCCCAAACACTGCAAAGATAAAACAATTTTTATTAGAAAAAATAGATGCATTGACACATTTCATAGAAAAAAATAATGAGGAAAAGAACTTTTGTCCTCGATGTTGAAGATGTGCACCATTTCTCCATCTATCGATGCTCATTGGAAATAGGTATTCATTGGGGCATAGCTCATCACTTGCCTGTATATCATTGATATAGCGCGTAAAACACACTCCTGGTGCTGTTAATATAAGGGCAATTGATATAGCCACAAGTAACTAAAATAATTTAGCAAATAGTTGTAGAATATCGGTTATGTTTAGATGGTGCTGAATCTGTAGATATTTATATTAAAGTTTGGAAATGTTGTAGATAGCTAATTGAACTAGAAATGGCAGAGGAGTGTACAACTTAGATTATCAATTCAAGCTTAAAGCACCGCATTTTCTGCCTTTGTGGCAGCTTATTATTTTCACTTTTGAGGCAAAAGGACACCTTATGCCGGTCTACAATGAAATTTTTTACTTTTATTATATTTGATAATGCTTTCTTCTTGAATTCGCTAAGATTTTTAGATCTTTCACTTTTATTAAGCGATTCCAAAATTTAGCCATAACCATGAAATAGGGAATGAACAAAAAGCACATTTTCGTATACATTTCTTTATTTTTTCATTCTTAAAAACTATTTATCAAAAATTCAGACCTATTTTATTGCGACAATTTTATGTCGCACTGTCCAGCAGCTTCATGAAAAAATCAAGTAAAATTTACTTATTTTCGCTTAAACTGAATACATCGAAATTTGAATACAGACAACGTTATGTTAAGTACAACAGGCTTCGTAATAGACTTGTATGGATATTGAGTTTCTGAGGTTGCTAGTTCAAATGCGTTTTGATAAATTTTTTCCGTAATTCTTCGTCAAGAACAATTTAGTGCAAAAGTGGAGAATTAATCAGAATTTGAAAGTAAAAATCTGTTCATACTTAACTCAGCATTGTACTTCCCTAAGTGATGATTTATGATACAAGTAAAAATTGCGAACAGGCATCAGATCGAACAGCTCGCATTGTACTTCCCTAAGTGATGATTTATGATACAAGTAAAAATTGCGAACAGGCATCAGATCGAACAGCTCGGTCTTACTTTTGTAGTTAGCAGAATCAGCCTAATTAATGGTGAAAGCTATTAAAAGAAGAAGATGCTATGAAAGAATGAAAGAATGCTCAGCAGATTATTCAATGGATCCGAGTTTTTTTTTCATAAGAGAACTTTCTTCCACTCAGCCAGTTCAAGTAAGAAATTACTTATTTATTACCTGCCGAAATTACTGAATGACGTTAAAATATACAGAACCTTAAAACTCAGTTTAATGAGAATAAAATGCATAGATTTACTGAGATATTCATTTGTTTAAAATTTAAAAACGAACCAGGACAAAAATTCTGAGAAAAGCAGAAATACCGATAAAGGTCGTATAAGACATTCGAAGAAAACAGACAAAATAGTTGATAGACCGTGAATCAGTAACGAGAAAACCGGCAATGAATCTCTATGACTGTACTGTCAACTCTTTCCAGAGATACATTGAAATTTGTACAAATAAGGTAGAATTGGATCGTTTCAATTGTATCACGCGTTTATTATTCTCACTTATCTATCGTCAAATGATTCGCCAGATTCCACCGAATATAAATAAACTAGTAATTCGATAGAATTTATTTGCCGCTTATATCTCTAAATCGCAGCAATTTATATAATTTTGCGCTATTTCGCGTCCATATTTTTTCCGTATATATAATGAATAAAAACTGAACTGTACAATTGATGTATGCAAAATTAGATAAGAAAAGGAAAACAGAAAGATTTCTAGACTGTTTAATCGACAATTTTACGGTCTAATTAAATACTATTTTACGCTTAAATTTATTTTTGACCAGTTTTAAGCAAAAATGTCAAAAATTCACATAATTAAATAAAAATAATTAACTGAAGAAATTAATGAAATACAAATCTCTCTTTCCTAACAGGTCGCCACTGCCAGTTAGACTGGCTCTACTGGCAAGTAAAGCTTCCTTAAAGGATCCGAAATCTCCTAATATCTCCTAACATCATATATTTTGAAAATTCATATTTTATACCGTGATTTCAAAAAAGTGGATGATGATTATCACTTTCATTTTTTTTTCGCAAATAATTCGCAAATAAAAAGTACCAATTATTCGATGAGTAAAGAGTAAGAGTAAAGAGTGTGAGATTTGTTCTTTAATTTCATTAATTTTAATGTAGTTTGCATGGTACAGATTTGAAGCAAGAAATGGCTTACCACTGAAGACGCTTGTACTGCATTTATAGAACTGCTAACGGACAAATCATTATCTCTATTTTTATCTCGAAGAAATTTATCTCTGAGATACTACTGTAAATTTAATATTGAAAGTGCAAGCCAAGAAATCGTGACAGCTTTCTAAGAAATATTGTATACGACAGCCGTATCATTTTGATAAAGTGTAACAGAATTCATAAAAAACAAATACTATCACATCTTAACTAATTATTTTACAATTTTTATTTTAATTTTTACTTGGTCAAAATTTGAATATTTCAATAATTCACTTTTAATTGCGAATCTCAGATGTTAAATTTTGTTTCATTTCATAATAGGAATCATTATTTACTTAACAAGTTTGTTTTGCATTTTTCATACTTTCATTAACTAATTTGCGTGATTTATTTGGGAAACACATGGCGAAAATAATATTAAGAGAGTAATGTAATGTATATTCTTTGATTGAAAATAACTGGTATAAAATTTGACTTCCGCATCAATCGGTAAATAATGATAAAATCAGCTTTTTGCAAAGCGCATAAAGAAGAGTTAATAGATATTCTGCGGTGAAATCTTGTTGAAAACTAGTTATCTTTGTAGTTATTGTCATATAGTTATGCTTCGCTAAACACAAATTTTTATCCTTAATTCCACTGTTTATTTTTTCGATTAATACATTTTTGAACAGATTATTCAGTTTAGGTCAGAACATCGCATAAGATCACTCATACCAATCGTTGGAACACACACAATCGTCCAACTTTCGTTAAGACTTCTAAATAATATAATATATATAATAATATATTATAAATAATATATATTTTTTCATTCGAATTCTAAATTCAGCATCAATTCTATTCGCTATTTTACCTGTCCAAATTAGGTTAATTTTAAAGAACATAAATTATAGATTATAAAAAATTCTTCTAACAGCTCTCGTCATTAATATTTAAGCTTGCTTCACAGGCTGCTCTAAGCTATTCTATTCGATGCCACTACCGACAGTAATAGAAGCCACTCCTTCTTCCATCGTCTAAGCCCACATATCGCTGGTCCATCTAAACATTCAAAATCTTTCTTGACTGTATCACTCAGGTCTTGATTGGCCTCCTTAATTTTGACACCCATCAAAAAGTTTAGCGAGTAACGAAATATGTGTCAACTTTTTAGGTGGATGCCGAAGAACGTTTCTTAACTAGGGATAACAACATTCTATAATGGTATTACTAATGTAGATGGTATTTGAGCGAAGATGAATGCAATCATGCGAGATTTGATCTATTGGGTAAACCCGTAAAATGTCTGAGATGAGTGGTCAAAGGAGGATAATTTTTTAATCTATTCCACAGGAATTGCTTTATAGCCATAAAATAAGATCGAGCGAATCGCAGCTATATGAGGGAAATTTCGTTTTGATGAGAATTTTGGTTCCATAATGGTTTTACCAACCAGAAGAACGCATTTTTAACTGCTCCTGATTGTAAATTTGCCTTTCGCTTGGCCGTTTGGGATTAGAATAGAAGATATTTAAAGTCTGTCGATTCCCCATATACATAGATCTGCATGCTGACCAAATGTTTTTACGAGTTGAATGATCTTCTGTGAAATACCGTAACATGTCACCCCCTAAAGCGTCATTCTGTCAATTGAATCGAATGCTGCTTAAGATCAATGAAACAAATGACGGTAATTTGTCGACATTAAAAATGAACTTCCAATATCCTTCTTAACATGAATATCTGGTCAGCACAGCCGTATTTGGTCTAAATCCAGCTTGGTCAGGGAGCGTATTGCACTTTACTGCCATAGGTCTATTCAGCAAGAGAGGAGCCAAAAATTTCCCGGAGATGTCTACCGCTATTCCTCGATAATTATCACAGTATTATTCTGTCACCTTCTTTGGGAATTGGGAGCTTTGATGCAGTAATCTGGTATTTCTTTCTTTCATACCAGAAAATATATTTGTTGAAGTTGTGATATGATACGATATGAAGAAAAACGGACAATATATGAAGAGTTTAGGGCAGAGACCATCTCTTCCGGCAGTTTTATTAGCCTTAAAGTTCTGGATGACAGATATTTCGTGTTCTATTGGCGCTTTGCAGTTGCCAATTCGACGAGCAAATCAGTTATGTCCGGGTCAAACGATGGCGCAACATAGTTAATTTTGGCGTCAAAAATTACAATTTATAACAATTATTTTCATTTTCAAACTCTTTGAGTTTTCAAATCAGTTTCTTCCTTTATTTTAATTTGGATTAATCGCGAAGACCATTGATACTTTCAAATCCATTCGCGAAGACCATTGATACTTTCACCTACATACTGCATCGATATATGGCTGATTATGATTTCATCGTTTGTATACACCAGATAAAATTTTTTATAAAACGGTACTAAATTATATAGCAAACAAAACGCATGCGATTCAAAATTTTTATTTCAGAGAAATTTGGTGGATCTTTGCCATTTTTTTTCAATTTTAGGTTCAAAGTTCATCATCACAAGAAAGTTGAAACCGAAAATATATTTCAATTTTTATATTTTTGTGTTACGTATAGGATCAAAGTTTCTTAAGACAGTAGTATATCTTAAGCATTGTACATCATACAACGATAAATAAGTAAAAATGATAAATACTGATGATAAATGAATGCATAATAAGATTCAAAAATATTAAAATGAAAATTATTAAATCTATTATTAGAAAAATCTAATAAATAATATAGTTATCTACATAACATTTCTCAGTTTTTCTCCTCAACAACTTGATTTTAAAATTTCTTTTACTATATCCAAAATTTTTTAGTAAAAACAGAAACAAACTGGTAATTCAACAAACATGAAATCCGGACTTATGCAAAATAAAAGTCATCTCATCATTCTATGAGATAATAAAACAAAAAACACTGTTATTGCTGTCATTCTTTTACAGTCCTTACATCATAGTATCTTTTCAAAATTGGCAGCAGAAATTATGCGATTTACTTGATAACTTCACTTATGGCATAGGTAGATTCTTTGATACTCCTAAGATAATCGATATTTAAAAAAAAAATTTCAAAAAAATTTGCTCCAAAATTTGATAATTTAGTCTATAAACAATAATCTGCCAAATATAAAAAGTTAAGATTGACAGTTAAAAATGAAACCTTTCCAAGAAGATCTGAAGATTTCTGAATGAATATTTAGTCAGTCGAGAGTTGAAAGCATCATCAATTGTTTCAAAACCTTGGCTTGCGATGTTTCACGAATTTCTCCAGCAAGAAACATCTCATCTACCACGGAATAAACCTAGAAAGCAATGTCGAATCATTTATTATGTTAAAAATAAATTACTGAAATCATTATTACTATCGAAAGATCAGTGCATTCCTAGATCACTATTAAACATGCATTGACGAAAAAATTTCATGCAAGAAATAAGATGAAAATGAGAAAAAAAAGAAAATTTTGATTCATTGTGTTCAGCCTAAAATTTTGAAATTTTCAAAAAATGATTTAAACTTGATAAAATAATGAAATATAATTAATATATATCATAAATGACCTTATAGAAGTTGAAGACAAGATCAAGTTCACAAACATTGTGAAAATACTCATTAAGAACTTCCACAAAATTATGAATCGCTTCCAGATGGCACAAATTATTATCAAGTATATCCACGCACATACAAAAATACAGCCCAGCGTAGCGTCGATAAACTATTTTAAAATTCCGAAACTATAAATAACTAATAATTACCAATTATTTCACATATTCTACAGCACTGTTAAATATTAAACACCATAAATAACATTAACCGTTACAGTTTTAATAATTACATATTACTACCAATAAATAAATGAAATTAAACAAAAAAATTATGAAAATTGAATATCAACATTGATTTAAAAATTGAATTTCATAGAATTTATTAGAATAAATTTATTATGTTAAAAATAAATTACTGAAATCATAGTTCCTGCCTATATAAACAATCACAGGAATTGCAAAAAATAATGCGAAAGATTAATCCAGAAAGTTTAAAGATAAAAAAAAGAAATTTTTTTCTAGCAAATGATAAAATAAAAATCAATTAAAATCATAAAAAAAATTAAAATATTTTTTACTTTTTCACTTCGATTAACCTATATTTATTAATAAATTATGAGGATAGAATGGCTCAGTGGGTTGCTGCTCAATTGGGAGCGCCGATGCTGAGGTTCAATTTCCCGCAGGAGTAAACCTGCACAAAAATTCGGGTGATGCTAGTGACTCACCTGTATTTCTATCTCCAAGGGAGTATACTCTATGGCATATTGCCCAATGAGACAAACCAGTGGAGCGAGTTTAACCAGTAATGGTGAGGACTCTTAAAAAAAAAATTTATTAATTAATTACTAGCTGAGAACATTACAGTATTTTCTATATATTTTAAAATATTTTCTATTAAATTACCTCAACAAAATTCGTATGTTTTGCATCACGAACTGTTACACATGCATGAACTTCTTCAATTAATTTTTGTTTTTCATCATTATCAAAATTCATATACCATTTTGCTAAGCGTGTTTTTCCTGCTCGATTTTGTATCAGTATAAATCGAATCATTAAACTGAAATTTAAAAAAAAATCTTCCGGAATAAAATTAGAAAATTTTCTTTCTTGTAAAGAATAAACTCCAAATTTCTACCAAATTAATCGCAAACAAACAGAGATGGCTCAGAAGTTTGTTGCTCTACTTGCAGAGCCAATGGTGGGATCGCACTCTCAACAGAAAGAAGAAAAACTATTTTTCAAAAATCCTGGCGACTCTATCGCCAAATGAACCCGTTGCAACAATTTCTAACCGCACTAACATTCAGCGGAGCCGCTTTGACCGCCAATCATGATCGCAAATCGCTTTAATTATAAATGGAGAGATGAATACAATCGAATGAATGAAATCTTCTTCAAACAAATTTCACCATTAGTGATTAGGCTGGCTCCACTGGCTATAAGACTAAGACGTTTCCAAGTTGGTCGCTCTGACGCCACCGCTAGTAGTAATAGAAACCATTCCTTTTTCCATCGTCTAACTCCATATATCGCTGGTCCCCTTATACTCTCTTCTGACTGTATCAGTACAGGTCTTGACTGGATCACCTCGTTCTTGACACCACTTAGAATTCATAGAGTTTAGCAGGTAACGAAATATGAGTCAACTTTTGTGATGGATGACGAAGAATATACCCTAACTAACGAAGACGATGTTCTATGATAGTACTATTAATACAAGTAGTATTTGGAAGGCGAACCCATAAAATACCTTACACATGAGTAGTCAAATGCAGATAACCTCATAATATCCTCCACATTGCAAGATCGAACGAATTGTAGCTGTATAGACAGGGACTTTGGTTTTTATAGTGATCTTGCAAGGGCTCCATAAAGGTTTCGTCAACCGGAAAAACGCATTTCTGGCTGCTGTTATTTGCGTTGTAATTTCGTCTTTTGCCTGGCCATTCGGTATTAGAGTGGATTTAAAATATCAGGCATTTCCTCAATCGGCAATGAGTTTATAAAAAAAAGGCATTTTATCAACTTCTTCTATATAAGACAAAAAAACTTTCATTTTATTTATATCGACCCTGATTCCGATTCTCGCTGTTTAACATGTTGTTTAATTGTTATAATTGTCAGCAAAAAGACTATGCTATCAGCGTATTCAAGATCTGTGATATGATGCTTCGGACTGATTTGTACATTCTAGAGGGTCGACAAGCAGTGTCCATTATCCAGACTATCGCACAGTTGAATAGTGTGGAAGAAAAGACGCAGCCTAGACGGACACCAGTTCTCATTTCGAAAGAGTCTGTCAGTTCCCCATATACAAAGATCTGCGCCGACGTACGCTCATAAAATGTCTTTATGAGTCGAATGATCTTTTCTGGAACACCTTCGCGTTCCTTCACCCTCCAAAGCGTCGCTCTACCAAGTGACGGCGGGTTGCAGGCACTTGAGGCGATGTTTCAACACTCTTCTAAACTTGACTTGAATATCTGCTCAGCACATCAGCAAATGAAATATTTGAACACTTATCGAAAATTTTTTAAAGTCAATTATTTTTCCACTGGTTCGACTTTTTTAAAAAAAAACAAAATTATCAGAAATTCAAAAAAGCTGACAGAAAACAAAAAATATAAAATTTATTGGACCAAACATCTGAGTTCCCCAAAACCGAACTTTGAGCTTTGAATTTAACAATAAATGTCACTTCTCCTGCAACAAATAAATGATATTCCAACAACAAATAAATGATATTCCAAATGTTCCATAATTGGATTTTTGCCAAAAATTACTGTAATATAGCAGTCAAACAATCGTCTTAATTCAATTTTCTATCGAAGTAGCTCTCAATTCATTTATGAACTTTCAATTGTTTTTGCATTGGCACTGTCTAATTCTGCTTCGTTACACTGTTGTGCTCCCAAAAAATGGAGTTGCAGTTGCCAAATAAAATAGATTTAGTGTGAGTGCAGCGTGTACTTTTCGAGTACTTTTCGCTTGTGTGGACAGCACACGTAAGAAGTTCCTCGCTATCGCTCGCACTGTTCATTTTCCTTTTCCTTATTCCTTCTTATTATATTTCTCTTCCATACGGTTAGCGAAACGGTAATTCATTTCTTTGCTTGCAATATCACTCATAGGTAGAATTTTCTTAATGCATATATTACGGCGCCTTGATGGCTGCTCAATAAGTAAATACGTGGCCAGCGCTCACCATTTATGGTTAAATTCCTGCGCTCGCTATTAGAGATTTTAGGTACACTATCAGGGTTTCTCTCGCTAGACCGAGACCGAGCTAAGCTAGATTCTCAGCCATCGTCCACTTGGCTATCCTGCTTAGAATACCGAATCGTATCTTTTATGCATTCGTGGCTGCCAAATGTTCTATTATTTAAATTATCGACTAAAGTGGCGAATAATTTAGTAGTTCCACTTATGGTGACACGATGACAAAAGGTAAAAATGGCAAAAAATTTTTTTAGATTCAGATTTTAGATATTTATATTCTTCTACGATTCCGCGTCGTTTGTTGTTTAAGCTGTTATAAATAGCCAAAAAATTTTCGAGTAAATAAAATTTTTTTATTTTTTAAATTTTTATTGATTTCGATGTTTAAATTTTATGTTAAATTTGGAGCGATCCATAAGTATTCTCCCCCACATCTCACACCCCCTCACTTTTCTCATGGTTCCCTAATCTTTTTCTTCCATTAACTTTCAAATCTCGCCATACTTTTCAATTGTAATCATCAGCAACGTTTCTCTAAGCGACAATTTAAGGTATCTTATGATATGTTCTTAAAATAGCTACCTTATAAAATTTGTAAAACCTGGTTTTGATGGGATAAAAGGAATCAGTTTTATGCAAATTGCAATACATTTAGATTTTGGGAGTTTCTTTGGGAAACAAATTCCGAGCAAAGAGTAAAAAGTGAAAGCAATTGATGATGCCAAAAAGAAGAAAAATTTTTAAAAATATTTTCTAACTTAATAGATTAACGAACATTAATTTTAATTAAATTTAACATTAATTTTCATCAAACTAACTTTAAATAAATTTTGTCATTTGTTTTAATTTATATTATTAGCTAATATAAAAGCAGAAATCATCAATGGACTATTTATAAAGAAGTTAATAAAGAAGGTGACAGAATAATACTGTGATAATTATCGAGGAATCGCGGTAGACATCTCCGGGAAATTTTTGTTCCTCTCTTGCTGAATAGACCTATGGCAGTAAAATGCAATACGCGCCCTGACCAAGCTGGATTTAGACCAAATACGGCTGTGCTGACCAGATATTCATGTTAAGAAGGATATTGGAAGTTCATTTTTAATGTCGACAAATTACCGTCATTTGTATCATTGATCTTAAGCAGCATTCGATTCAATTGACAGAATGACGCTTTAGAGGACGATGAAATATGACATTATTCCAGAGATTATTCATCGAAGTCAATACAGTGAAGCGGATATCCGAAGAAGCTTTAAGGAAAATATATGTTGGAACTGGAAATCACTGAGCCTCACTTTCTAGTATATAGCTGAAATTCGCTCGATTTTGCTATATGGCTGTGACACATGCATCGTTGAGGATATTGAGAAGATATCCTTAAGTATCCTTAAGATATCTTTAATCGTTTATGTCTAAGGTTTTTGTTGTTGGTTAAGCGGCTAAAATCTCACCTGATCGCATCCATCTTCGTTCAAATACTACTTGCATTAACAGTGCCATCACAGAGCATCGCCTTTGCTGGTTAGGATACGTTCTTTGTCGCCCACTGTCACAGTTGACACATATTATTTGCTAAACCCTGTAATGGGTGGAGTCAAAAGCGAGGTCGGCCAATCAAGATCTGGATTGATACAGTTAGGGAAGATTTTTAAACGTATAGATGGACCAGCAAAATATGGGCTTAGACGATGGAAAAAAGAATGGTTTCTATTATTGTCGACGATGGCGTGCGATCAAGCAGCTTGGGGACATCTTACCCTTGTAATCAGCGGAGCCAGCATAATTAATAATGGTGAAAATTGATTAAAATCATTCTATAAAATTTAATTTTTCTTACTATAGCTTCTATCTGTCCCAAGGATTGCAAATTAAAGAGGAGGGCAGTGGTGAGGATATGTAGCACAAATCACTGGTATCACTAGTATGATAAATCATTTGACTAGTTTTACAGAGATTTGGCGGATTCGAAGGCAATAATGATATAGCTTTTGAAGGATTGTTATGGAAGTATAATATGATTTGAGATCTTAACTGATGCTGGAATTCTAAAACAGCATTAAACAAGTGCATGCACTTCAATTTCAATCAATTTCCATGTCAAAAAAACTGTTTTGCATGTTTATATTTGATACGATCAGGTAAGATCATTATTACCCTGTTTGTCGCAGTTTGCAAAACAGAAAAAAATAGAATAAAATAAAAATAGAATAGAAACTAAATAGAATAAAAATTCTGGTTATTAGTAGGTTATTAGTAAGTCTTTCCATTTTCAACTTCTTTAGGATATTTCCCTAAATGTTATAGGTAATATTTCCCTTTTCTAGAGGGAATATTACCTATAATATTATGTAAAATCAATGTAAATGTGGTCCGTTAAAACATTGCAAAATTGCAATATTTCTCCAGAAAATAAAAAAATTTAAAGAAGTCAGCGCCATTAAGGTGAACTTTACTTGCTAAGAATCAAAAAACTTAAAACTTAAATAAACCTCAGTAAGATTTTTTTATCCATGTAACTAACATAAGGGTCCAGTTGTAATTTAAGCTTTTTCTTCTCACCATGGAAATGAGGCAGTGAAAAGCAAAAGCATATTTTCATTAAAATTTTATATCGACATATTTTCTTAGCACATTATTATTGTTACTATTATTTTATCATTATTAATCATTATCACCATTATTAATTAATATTATTAATTACTATTATTATTTCTGTTTCTAAAATTTATTTAAAATTTTTATTAATAACAATATAATAAGCCTTCTGTCCTGAAAACTTTTCATCAAATTATGAGATGAAAGGAAAACATTCGAGAGAATCTTGAATCCAAAAAAAATGAAAAGTTATTTACAAGAGGTAAAATGAACCACGCGTTCTATTACAATAAACCTGTTTTATCATGATTTATAATTACAAAATAATCAGAATGATGATGTTGCGGCTCCTTGGTTATCGAAGTAGAAAGGAGTAGGATTAAGAATCCTAGGTTTTTGAAAATCATTTGGTTTTTGCCGATCTCCAAGCGCAGTTTTTAAGTTGATATTTGGATAAATATAGTCGACTTCTGAGAATTTGTGATTTGTCAACAATTCTTTTTGCAGTGGTCTTGCGCTGAGGTCTGCATGATTATACCAGTGATGTTGGATTACTGAAATATTTTTATAGTTGTAGCTCGAAATAAAAATATATAAATTTGTTGATATTTTATGAAAAAAAATAACGTGCTAAATACTTGAATTTTTCATCAAAATGAATATTAGAATGAATACTGCTTTTTTGAATAATCATTATTTTTTGCCAGTTATTGATATTACATTTTAAAAAATAACTATATATAATCAAGAATTCTTTTGTTCTAGCAAAAGATACAATTATTATTACTATTTTATTACTATTACAAGATGGAAGATTACAAGATGAACTTACCACCATTACGATATCGTACACTAACTTTTATTTTACCATATTCTACGTCGGAGAATCGTATAAGAAGACAAGAATAAGGTAGAGACCGTAATAACTCTTCCGCTTCGTCTTTACCACAAAAACCGTAGACAAGCCTAAGTTTAGAAATGACACTCAGCACCCAAGCTTACTTTTTTTTTGTTTATAAAACCGAATCCTTCTGGAATTTTTTCATTTTTTTTCATTTCATCCAAAAGATTATTAACAAATTGTAATTACCTTGTTTTCTTTGGGAAAGAAACAATGATGCTATTTCTCAAATGAAATTGAAATTGAAATCCAATACAAAACACTTATCACTAACCCTTCAAACCAAAGCTGATAAAGATATTTGTTGATAATTTCCGCAGTCTTGAAAAACCACTCAGAAAAAGGTAGCAATTTCCACTCACCTTCATTCGATACCTTTTTTATGCTATATTCTTGACAAACAGCTAGCTAGAATTTAATTCTTTCATCTTCTGTTCCACGTCTTCTTTTGCTTCCAATCCATTTTTTTATTTATAATCAAGATTTATGCATAATTCTATTAATATATTAAATGAATAACTAATATCGATCAAAATTCATTAAAATTTTAAAACATTTTTTCCTCAATTTTTTCTCAAAATCTATGAGATTAAATAAATAAATTCGTAATGAACCAGAAAATAAATTTTTTTTACTTTGGTGAAGTTTTCAAGATTAATTTCTCCATCACGATCTGGGTTCAGTCTTATAAGTAAATGTTTCTTATCCTGTAAAACAGAAATTCTTTTTTATGTGAGTAATAGATTTTGAATAATATGAATATGAATAAATACTTTAAATAATATGTACTTTAAATGCAGTTTTTTAATGTAAAAACTACTTCACAGAATTACTTTAATCAAAATTCAAAGTCAAGGCACTTAGAATAAATATGCAAAATCAGTGAAAAAGATGGTGTAGATTTCTATCACAAAAAAGCTGAAAAATATGCTTACCCGAGAACGCAACATTCTTGGTTCAACAGTTGAACCATCGGCTGATTTTTGCGCAGTTTCCACTATTGCCTAAACATTCACAAAAGAATGAACAATATTTTCCTGTCCAGAATTTTTTAGTGGAAAAGATTTATGATTTGAAAACTTGCTTGAAACTTCATATCTAAAGCGTCCACCATTTCTTGACAACTCACAAATTTAGGTACATCGCTTAAAGGTTGTCGAACCTGAAATCAGTTTCCAATATACAAGAGAATAAGATGCATGATAATAAATGATACCAATTGTTAAGTCAAATTGCTTTTGCATAAGGAAAAATATCCACCAAATATTTGGAGCATGATACACCGTCATCTATCATCCTGAGTACAGCTGAAATGCTCGCAGAGCGACATAATTATAACTGCGACTCGCCAAAATGTCAAGAAATAATCTCCATTATTTCATAAGCTTGAGGTCAAAAATCCCCAAAGAAGAGGTTTTCAAACTGTTCAAATTCCGTCCAGATCTCTTCATTGCTCAGGAAATACACTGATATGAAAAAAGAACTAAAATATAAAAGATGACTAAAAATAGAGCAAAGTATACCAATCCCTAAGAAGGATGATGCATTGTGACCTATTTTTTGAAATTAATTGAGGAATCGTTACACTTCAAATATGTGAGGAGAAGCAAAAGGCGAAATTCCAGTCTGAATGATTGAAGCATAAATGTTCTCCTTTGCTTATGAAACCTTTGTGGAATCGTCAAGATATCAAAACATTAATCTAATTGCATTGCGTACGATCCTGCTATGCGGCTGTGAATCACTGCCAATAAGAGTGGAAGAAATCAAGGTGCTTTTTACTCTTAACCACTTTTGCCTAAGATATTTTTTACATACAACCGCTAAGCGGACAGAACCTCAAGCTCACAGGTTTGTATTTGCCTTCGTTCAAATACCAGTTACATTAATAATACCTTGAACGAAACGTTGTTTTTTCACTATCCATTGGAGATCTCATTGGTCTCTACCTACTAATGTGATGGATAGAAGAGGATGCTTCAAAGATGTGGAGGAGTAATAAAACCAAGAGTGAGTCAGGCGAGATTTTAAACGCATAGGCAGTCCAGTGATTTATGGAATCAAGTAATGGAAAAAGGGGTAGCTTCTAATACTTTTAGATGTTGCGTCGGATCGAGAGGCTTCTCATCCTCGCAGCGGAGCCAGCCTAACCAATGATTGTGGAAGCTTTTAGAAGAAATAGAAGGTGCAGAAAAATTAGCAAGCTGAGGATAAAACTTACAAGATTTGCGAATGATCGTTCGAGAAATAATCTTGCTTCAACTTCACTTTTCGGCCCAACTAAAATAGCAAAGGGTAACGAGACTTTTTTACCGATTAACTCAATGCCATGCGAAGCGTTTAATTGTATGTTGTAGCATAAACAATAACGCTTAGTTGCCACAGAATCACGACGAAGGTGATCTTTTTTCGAGACGCGCTAAAATTTTCCATCTTTATCAGCGAAATTTCAATGAGCAAAAAAACCAAGGAAAGGTTAACTGCATTTTGGCCTTACCATATCTTCGAACTTTGCTAATAAACCGTTCATTTCCAACAAATTGAAGCTTGCTAACTGAGGTTCAATCGAAAATTCTTCGTTTTCAAAACTAAAGATTTTCACTTTTTTTCTTTTGAAAGCTTTTGCAAGTTTCTCTTGCAAAATAATTGATTTGGATAAGTTTCAGTGAAATGCTAATCATCAATTTAATTCACTGCAAATTAAAATTCACGAAAAGAAAATAAAAAGTGATCGAGAAATATATTTACATCATCTGAACTCGAAAAATGGATGAAATTTTATGAACTTTACATTCTGTGATATGCATCTGCTAACAGTTGCCGAGCGGTGTCGTCAGTTATAAGAAAACATTCAACTTGAACACCCTTTCCATTTTCATCAACTTTAAATGCTCGTCCACCCAAAACCCTTCAAATACCACTAAATATCTATTATTAAAAATAAAATACTAAGAAACCACTAATAGTTTCAAAGATAGATTCTATTACTGAATGCGAATTTAACCTTATTTCGGTATTAAACCAAAATCGACTTCGTCTGTGATTCTCAGCTTCTCCACATTTGATGACCACAGATGGTGGTTGGCGAGAAACGATAATAGAATAGTATAAAAAATAAAGAGCGGTTTCTTGTAATTTGGCATAAAATATATCGAAACCGTCATTAGGGCACTTTTTCATGAGATAACTTAAACCAGATAGAGTTTGCTCAAGTAACTCACCAAAATATTCAAATCTATAATGTAAACGCATGGTTATAACATGATAACATAATCAGAAAACTCAAAAATCAAACGATTTTATGGATTAATGCAGCAACTTCGAGTTAGGTACTACAAAGAAGATAATTTAAAATTAGGCCCATTTTTATACCGAATGACTAAGTAGTAGGAGAACTTGCCTGCCTTGCAACTAGAAACGCTTTCCTTCATTTGGCAAAGTCATTATGGAATTGATGTGAAAATTTTAGCATCAAAATGAAAATTTATATCTATTTGATTGTAACATGCACAATCCTTTCATATTGTTGGAGAACAAAGGCAATTAGAGGTGAGGGCTTAGGTATCACGAAGCTATATTAAACTATTCGTGCCAGAGTTACATTTTATATAAGTACTGTACCAGCAAAATCTTATATAACTGTAATCAAATATATCGCAAATATATGTATTGCAAATATAATTCTCCTCTCGAATATCGCAACATGTATTGCAAATATAATTCTTCGCCGCTTATCAGAGGAAACACATATCCCACTATGCTCAGTTTTGGTTTTGTGACGTCAAAAGTCATGAATGGCGTGGTGAGAATAAATTTTATATAAGTGGCTTACATATAGATATAGTGAAAAATGGTGTGACATATGTTACTTTCAGTTATATGGTATCTAACGCAGTCATCTAACCAATAATGAGTGCGTTAGAAGAAGAAGCAACAACAGTAAAAATACAAACCAATGGTAGTTAATCATGTAAAATTCTTGTAGACTTGGTTCTACTAATAAAAATTTATTTTTTATCAAAAATTAATTAATGAAGAGAAAAAATTTACTGCTTATCAATTGTATCAAGAAGATTATAGTGCACTTGTTGAGCCCATAGTGTACCAATACTAATTTTTTGTTGTTTAACTGCCCAAGCATATAAGACATCGCACATCAAGTAATTCTTTTCATCTTCAAGTGCCACTAACAATTCAGATGTTATCTCAATAATTTTCTGGAATAATGAGTTTTAAATTTAAAAAAGATGAATGAAAAACAAGTAATGAAAATTTTGGATAAAATGCTTCAACAACCGCCAAAAAACAAAGCAGTGATATGATTAAACGAGTTACTGTTAACCAGTTTTCTCCTGAAGTATTTCATTTCCTCGTAATTCATCTAACGATGAACTATTACCAAACTAAACAATCTTCAACGATAAAAACATCCCTTAATTTTCTTCGAAAAACACACCGAAATGACAAAATTTTCCTCTTTTTCACTTATTCTTTTCGCCAGAAGACTACCCACATAATCCTTGTAAGCCTAAAATTAAATTAATTAAATATAAAACGATATCTATAGTTTCAGTAATAAAAGGAAGATTTAATCAACAAATCGAGTAAAGGAATCTGAATTATTTGATTACTATAGAATTTAGAATGCACATTGGTTGATTAACGGACGCATAAAAATAATATTTTATTATATAATTAAATATTATATAATTATTGTATAATTATTATATAATAATAAATCTTTAATTGGTTGTTAATGTTATTAATAAGTCCCATCACGATTAATAAAGTCACGTTAAACATAGATCAATCATGCAAGAAAAATTGTAAAAGTACAGTCATTGCTCGAAGGCAATGCAAGCCTTTGTAAGCACAGAGGTAGAACTAATCATTCCTGGTTATGCTCACTCCACTAGTTGGTATGATAAGAAATTTTTGCCCAGCAATCACTTGAGACTAAAAACGCAGCTGGGTCTGCAGCATCATCCAGATTTTTCAAATAGCAGTCATCCAAACCTTAATAATCCAAACGATTATCTGAGCGACAACCAACAGTCCAAGAGAGGGTAAAAAATTTTGGCAAATTAATTTAGATGAAAAATCTAAAAATTTATCTGTTCACCTGATATAAATCAGCTGATCGATTATGTTTAGCGACGAAAATTGTGTCAACATTACGTATTTCAGGAGTGGAAGCGTCTGACCGGTCCGATTCTGAATATTGCATTTATGAAAAATGGCAAGCCACCTGTTGTATTTCTCTTTCTTTACAACATTCTGTCAAAGACGTGTTGATCATTTCCATCACTGACGGTGCAAAAACTCGATTTTTCTTCAATATTTTATTATGATCAATAAATGAATCAGCAGATTCATTATATTTAATCATTTCATCAGTTAATGTTTCATTATTGCATTTTTTGGCGTAATTGCCATAAATAGAATCGCATTCCTTAAATCCTTAAGATTTGCTTAAACCACTGCGAGGAAATTTAAATAGATAGAATGGTTGTAATATTCATATAAATCAGCTTGAATTTTAAGAGGAAATTCGATTTCTATGGAAAAGCCAAGTAGCTGGGATTTATTCATACAAAAAAATACAGAATTACATCGACAGCATTCATGAAATCGAACTTCCTTTATCAGTCTTTATCAATGCACTTGCTATTCTTAATCGCTAGAGTACAATTACGGTACGAACTTTTGAATTAGTCGGCTTTTCCAACTTTGTTTTTTTGTTTTTTTTTTGTGGTTGGTCATATGGTATTTTATTAGTGCTGGATTTTCAGTTTTTTTTAAGGTGCAGACACCATTACTGGTTAGACTCGCTCTACTTGCTTGTCGCATTGGGCAATGCGGGGGTCCCTTGGCGATAGGAATACAGGTGAGTCGTCAGCATCACTCGGACTTTGTACAGACTTATTCCTGCTGGATTTGTGCTCTGTTGTGCGTTTCTGGTTTTTCTTGGTGTGCCGACTGCCAGGATGGCGTTAGAGAGTCAATATTTCACTTTTAACAATCCCGTTGGTCCCGTTAAAAGGAATCGGGTTTGCGGTAGCTGCACCCTTAACATTCGACCATTCCGACCCTCTTAATTGTTGTAATTCTTTTAATTTTTCAGAAAACGAAAACAAATGAATATTACAGTTATAACAGGTATTATTAATTTTGTCACTCTTATACTCTTATACTTTATTACAAATTTTTTAAAGCATTTTAATATAATATAATTAAAATTTGTTAAAATCTCGAAAATTCGAAATTTCGTGTTTTTTCCTTTTTTTAATTCTGATCTTATATTTTAACGAATGTTCTGTTAATAATTTTTTATAAAAAAATCAATAAATTATATAATTTAGCATTATAATTTTTTGCTTTTTATTTTGCGATTTATTTTTATTTTCATTTTGTTTTGTCCAAAATTTCCTTAATTTTGAATTTGTGCGATTAGCAAAGTTTTTATTTGTAGTGAGTGATACGGTTATAACTGGTGAACGTGAAGATATCAGTGGCTCAGTTCTCGTTTCCCTTGTCAACAATTCTAAAAAGTAAGTTGCTAACCAAGTTTTATAAATATTATTGCTTATATTTGTATAAAATTACTTTTAATTCTATTTTAACAGAGCTATTTACTTAAGATTGAATGCAGCTGCTATACACCATTATTCAGTTGCTGATAACGAAACTGAAATACGAGAACGATTGATTCAATCATCATCCATATCAGGTTTTTTTTTTCATTTGTCTGGTACGATCGATGATGCCATAATTTTTTCCATGTTTGGATCTCGTATTTCTTAAATTTTTATTATTTTCCGGTCTGATATTCAGAGTTCCAGTTGCGGTTTTAGTAGTTTTATCAATAATTTTTAAATTCTCTGATGTCAGTATTTGCAGATGTCATATTGACAACTGGTGGTACAGGTTTTTCTTCTCGTGATGTGACCCCTGAGGTAATTTCACTGGAATTATTAATTTTCTACAGCAATAACGCTTAAAGCTCGATAGGAATATTTTTGTTCGGTTTCAATAAATAACGCTTTTCCTATTTCTCGAATCATTCGGACGATTTGAGCTGTTAGAAAATTTTATTAGATTTTGTACAATAGGCATTACGAATTTTCATACCAGTTCAGTGGAAACTTTTTTGAATAAAAATAAAAATAGTTAAATTCTATCATTCTGCAATTTTAGGTCGTGTAAAAAAAATTAAACTCTCTTATTCTTCTTCCTCTCTTTTTTTTCATTTTCATTTGTTTCATTTGTTTTATTTTATTCACTCTGAAGCACTCATCTTTTCTTATTTGGCTGTCTGCACATTAGGATGAGTCGTCAGAGAGTTATCTGGAGGCAGAAGTGAGTTTCTATACGAGCTTATTCGAGTCAAGAACCGAAGTCATAATGCTCAACCTTAATCAGTGCAGCATACAAATCGTCCATCCTGACTTTGATTAAGCTCTAATCGAGATAAAAAAAAGTGAATTTAATAGTTCTTGATCTTAATTTTGCAAGATTGTTCCAGGCTACCGAAACGGTGATTGAAAAACGCTGTGGTGGTATGGAAGTTGCATTGCACTTACGTTCATTACAAACCACACCATTTGCAGCATTGTCTCGTCTTTGTGTCGGAATTCGGCATAAAACATTAATAATTAATCTTCCAGGAAGCCCGAAAGCTGTTAAAGTAAGGTCCATGTCTTTAATGTTTCTGCCAAAAATAAAACATAGGATTACTCAAGGATTCTGGTGATCATTATTGAGTGTTTTAGCTTTAGTTTTTTCTGAATATTTTAAAGCTTCAAGATTAGATGGTATAATTCGTCTTTATATCTTTTTATCATTATTTTTGCTATTCTTAGGAATGTTTCGAAGTCTGCGAAGAGATTTTGCCTCATGCGGTCCATCTTATAAAAGGCGAAACGACAAATGTTTCTAGCATTCATACTGTTCTTCAAAATCATTCTGAAAAGGTTATTTCAAGGATATTCTAAAGTCTGCTATTGGCCCAAAAATCTGTAAGTTATCTATGAAACTTATCTTCAGGAAGATAGCATATTTATATTATCATGAAATTATAAAGCTAATAGTTCAAAATCTGCACGCTGATAGAGAAGCCCATATGTTAAAAACTACGTGGATGTTTTTTAATCAATAATGTAATATTCATATTCCATATGGATTTACATGGATTGCCCGCATAGTTCTGCTTAACATCTTGTATAACATATTGCTTCACTATCGACCTTAATGATTGGACCTTTTCTGCCTAACATCATAAGCTGTTAGCTGCCGGTTTAGTATTATTTAGTAAGCATTATTTGCTATTCGTCGATTTCGATCTTGTTAACGCTTTTGAGATTGTCTCATATAGAACTTATTAATAGGAAGTTGTTAGTTATAATAATCTTGGAATCACTGGTAATCTGTTGTAATGGATAGAAGACTAGAAAGTCGATATCAATTAGCAGACATTTCTTTGTTTCGTATAACTCTGTTTACCATACTAATGGTTAAGTCTGGAATATTTCTGAGCAATTGTATTGCTCTTACGTGTATACTTATAATGCATATTTATATATTATATTTATTTATTTAAAACCAACCAAGAATGGCGAAAAGCGTCATGTGCCTGTATTAATAACAACAGATAAAATAATGAAATTAATGGTAAAAGAAAATATAACAAAAATTATACAGTAAAGAAGAAACAAAGAAGAATTACAATTACAAAAAAAGTAGTACAGTTCGAAGTGAATATATTATTTATATATAACCGAATGGTAAAAATCAAGATTTCATAATGTGAACATTTTAAATAATATCATAAATGGTGTAAAAAATAGATTAATGATATTTGAAAGTAGTGAAATAATGCTCGCCTGCTCGCCTGCTACGCGTTAATATTTGAATAACCTTGATCCGGCCATTTTATCAGGGCAGTAGAGTAAATATTGATCACCACACGTATTAATAAAATTTTTATTCGTTACCTCAAACTTGGGTTATTAAACCTCAGTAATACACTGATAAGAAAAAACAATATTCGACACGAATTAAATTCATAGGCTAAAAAAAAAACTATCTCAGACAAATAAGAAATGGTTAAATAAAGGGTACTAAATAACAAAAGGGTATAATATTGAAATGTTGGAACTTAACCGCTGGGGTCCTTTGATGGCTCCACAATGAGAAAAGAATATACAATTTGTACTATAAATTGACCTTTATCTTTTATGTATGAACACAAAGAATTATTAAATTAATGAAAGGCTTCACTTGGCGAGTCGGAGTTACCAGTTTGAAATAATGAATTTGAAATAATCGAAAACATCGCATTTCGCGACAAATGGTTTTATCTAATTTTCTTTTAAAAGTAGCTAAGGATGACGCAAAAACTACATCGTCAGTATAGTTTATTCCAGTAATAAATAGTGCAAAAGAAAGTCGTGAGTCCTTAGTTTAGTTTCATATAGGTTTTAGTAGTTTTAATCCATTAGATTTTGTATTAGATTCCAGTAATTTTAACCTAAAATTGTAATATTTTGAACAATCTAATTTAACATAACCATAAAAAAATTTATAAGTATAAATTAAATCTTGTTTAATTCGACGAATTGAGAGAGAATCCAGATAAATTGTTGAAGTTGTGTAATTAAAATTGTAAAAAAAAATTGCTATTAGGAGAGAGGCGCGATATAAAATATTTCTGGAGTCCTTCAATTATTTTACTGTTTTGCGATATCTCAGGGAAACAGGTAGTAATTATTTTTCTTTATTATAGTTCTGCAGTGAAGATCGAAGGTCAAGATTTTCATCCATGATTATGCCAAGATCAGAAACTCGTCTGATTGTACCTTTGATAAAAAGATTAGGAAGATCGAATCCTTTCGAATTTATAAGTAAAACGCTACATTTTCAAAAAAGAAAGGATAATTTGCCTGTCATATAGCCAGTTGGCAATTCTATTGAAGTTATCCTGTATTGGAGACATTATCGGAGATATTATCCGATCTGCCATAAGAATAATAAATTTTGCAATCATCAGCGTAAAGATAAATGCTAGTACCACTTTGATGATATCATTTATATGTAATAAAAAAAGTAATGGTGCAATACAACAACCTCGAGGAACACCAGATTTAACAGGTGTTATGTTAAAAAGAATGTTGTTTACACATACAGCCTTTTATATAATCTGACACCCAGTTACACATGTCCTCTATAATGCCATAACTATTAAGGGTGATCAACAACTTACTATGGGAAACATTATCAAAAGCTTTGGCTAAATTTAAGTACATAACTGATACCGTTTTTCTATTGTCAATTGATGCTGACCAATCGAAAAGATTTGCCAATATTTGTAAAGAAGTAGATTTTTTCGTACAAAAGCTATGCTGATAGGTGGATATTAAATTATTGGCATCAAGATAAGTAAACAACTTGTTGCAAATCAGCCTTTCCAATACTTGCTACCAATGCATGTTAGGCTAATAAGCCTGTAATTAGAATGATCACAGGTGCTTCCTTTTTATGAATGGGAATTATATGAGATAATTTCCAAATTTTGGGATTAAGGCTTAGTTGAAAGTTTTCGAGTTCTCCTTCACTCTGACATTTATAAGAAGACCATTGAATTCTCCATATTCGTGGATTACATTCGTGATTCATAACATTATTGCTATGTCGGAGTGTTTGGAGAAAAACAACGGAGTAATTGCTACACTAAAATGATATATATTTGAACATCACAGCAGAGAGAAAGAGTCATATGAGGACTGTGTCGTTGACCTCTTTGGCTAGGTCTTTGATCGAGCGAAGTTATTATTGGTTATTTTTAAGGTTGTACAATAACGAGCTATCATGACACGTTTAACTCTAACATATCACAGATGGACGAAAATCATGTTTGCGACAAAATCGTACGGTAAACCATAATAGTATTTACCCGCATTAGTGATTGGTGAAATAATGTTTGATGTAATCTTATCAGTTCCTTGTTATCAGTTCCTTGTGTTCCTTGTTTTTATTTACTTGTTTTGCTTTACTTTTACTATGACTTTGTTTACTATGACTTTTTTCCATTTTCTTTAATGATTCAACCGTGTTTTATCGTTTTTGTTATTATTTCTTTTCTTTTGTTCATTGTTTTGATATGAACGAATACGGCAGCCAGGCCTTGCGGTTTCTTTGCGTAAAAAAAATTCATATATGTTCATCAATTTTTATTCATTCTTTATCTTAAACAAATAATTTGATAATTTTAGAATTTACCAATTTTTCTTGTGCGATCATAAAATTTAAACCATAATAGTATATAAGAATTATTTACGCGCATTAGTGATTGTAAATGATGTTTGATGTAATCTTATCAATTCACTGTAATGAGTGATAGATTATGCAAATAAAAATCGTTTTAAAAAATTCGAATGACCGATTTTTTCAATTTTTATATGAATTCGGAAAAGATGGTTTAAAATTGAAAGAGTCTTGAAAGTCACGAAAGAAATAGTTTCTCTCCAGTCAATGGATTATTTTGCGAAGAAATTATTGTCGTTTGTTGATCCTGTTAGCCAAATCCTCTTCTGCCTCAATCCTTCGATAAAGGGTTTGATAAAAATATCTCTGTTGAACGACATTTTAAGAATTTTTTGCACATTTTATGTATAAAGTTATTGCTTGGGCAATGTTCGGCCATTTCAGGATTAACTTGTGTTTACGTCGTTCTTAATCCTTACAATTTTGACAGTTTGATTTTAATTTTGATTAGAAAGGAATTTGTAATTTATTCAAAGAAGATTTTAGAAGTGTACTTATTTATCGAAAATGGAGCAAGATTGTTGAAATTGGGTCATTAAAAGGAGATGGTTTAATAAAATGCGTGTCTGCGTCATTGGTGGTGGTGTCAGTGGTCTTCCCGCAATTAAAGAATGCCTTACCCAGGGTTTTGAAGTCGTTGCATATGAGCGTACATCTGACATTGGTGGACTATGGAACTACCGTCCAGAAATGAACGTAATTCGTTTTCCATTAATTTATGAATGTTGGTTTTTAACGGTCGACCTTTCAAACAATTCGATTCTTATCGAAAATTCATTATCGGCAGGTGCTAGTAATTGATTTACTTTCGTGCTCGGAATCGGACCGGTCTGCTTGCTCCAAGCAATATACAACTCGACCACCCTTCTCCTACGAACAATTATGTTCATAATTGATTTTAATTTTGATTAGAAAGGAATTTGTAATTTATTCAAAGAAGATTTTAGAAGTGTGGTTTCATTTTCGCTGGTTTCATTTTCATGTAAAATTAACTAAAAATCCCAAAAAATTGCTAAAACAATTGTAAAAAATATGATTATTTTAAGGCTTTTTAGCTAGTTCAGTATGCATAGTTAATTGAGATATTACTCCAAACACATTATGAACTTATGGGGAAATATTCTACAGGAGGGCGGTACAGTTATGAAGTCAACTGTGGTGAATACTTCGAAGGAGATGATGGCGTATTCAGATTTTCCGCCTCCAGCTCACTATCCCAATTTCGCTCACCATTCGCTCATTATGGAATATCTGAGAGAATATGCTAAGAAATTCGATCTTTGCCAGTACATTAAATTTAATACAAATGTAGATGAGGTAATTCTGCGTTTCTGTTCGCTAAGAAAAAACTTTTTCGAACTTTAAATTTTTATATTCACTAATATTGGCAGAGTGTTGGATTATTATTATCACCTCTTGCAACCAGTAAGTTCGCCTTAATGCAGCTCATCTTGGATTTATCATTTATTGGCTTGATCCTCCTCCTGTAAGTTCATAAATTACATTTCTGGCCGCTCATTCTATTACTTTTTTCGTTGTAGCTTGTGCGTAAAACATTATTATATTTAATCGTTATTTTATCGTTTCATTTTAGCTCAAAGATTGGGTGATAACTGTAGATCATCGTGCAACTATAGTTAAGTATTTCTAAAATAATGTAGTTGAAAATTGGACTATTGTATTCTGCCTTTGAGACGCAGGAAAAAATTTTGTTCAAATTTCGCACTTTCTTTAATTCTCTTATAAGGTTTCATTTCTATTAAATAAGAGATGAAACAGAGATTAGTTAGCACGAACGTCGCTAATATTGGAATATATTAGAATATTCCAAAAATCCCAATTTTAATGAATCTTTCATAGCAAATATTAAACTTAGTAAACGACATAACCTGGATAGAACTTTTTTCTTCTCATCTGTTGTCTCTATTGTTTCATAGCTCGATTATTAATGACCAGATTTTCAATACGGATTCATACAGATCCACTGGGGAGAGAATACGGATTCATTTAAGAACGATCTTCTTATCCTTGTTGATCTTACTAATTACCTTTCAGTTCACCTCACAAAATTCCCATTAAAAATTGTTTTCCAATTCACAATTTCATAGATCTTTCTTATCTTAGAATGAATTCGTAATTTTCTAGCTGAGTTATTTTGATGGTAAATGGCGAGTGAAATTAAGTGGCATGACCTCAGCAGTTGAATTCTTCGATTTCGCTATATTGTGCACTGGACACCACAGTTTTCCCTCTTATCCCACTATTGAAGGTATACAATTTATTCAGTCTGAAGTGTTGCCATATAAATTTCGATTAATATTGCTGCTGTATTCTATCTTATTACATCCAGTTAACCTATTCATGATTCTGAGCCTTTTTTTGGAAGCTTCCATTTGATTATTCGTAGTACCCATATTTCAGCCTTTTCATGGTTTTTATTAATAAGGTAAGTCACAGTAACGCTGAATAAAATGCAGATTTTTTTTAAATAAAATATATTTCAATAAAATGCAAATCTTGACTGTTACAGGTAATGAAAAATTCAAAGGTCGCACATTGCACGCACATCAGTATCGAGACTCTAGCGGATTTGAGGATAAAAATGTGGTTATTGTTGGTATGGGCAATTCATCTCTTGATATTGCAGCCGAACTAGCAAGAGTTGCAAAATCTGCAAGTTATTTACTCGCTTTTAAAACACCCTTAAATTTGGTTTTCATTCAGTCAAGTCAACTTATAACTAATGATAATAGTAATCTTTTCTATCTGGCCTTAGGGCAAAATATACTTATATAATTTGTTTTTATGTCACAATATCAACACGACGAGGGGCATGGATTTTCAACCGAGTTTTTCAAGCTGGAATGCCGTATGATGCAAAGTTGATGACCCGCTTTTACTATAAACTTATGGATATCTTGCCTTGGACAATTGTCAATGATTTTATGGAGTATCGTCTACAGGTGCTAATAATTCCAATTAACCAATGTGCATTCTTATTTTTATTTCCGTAATATATTACAATTTCTTTTTAGCAACGTATTGATCACGATTTATATGGTCTTCGACCGAATCATCGCTTTTTTCAGCAACACCCAACTCTAAGTGATGAGCTACCAAATCTTCTTTGTTCCGGACGAATTGTTATAACGGTTTGCCTTTTTAATTTAAAGTGCGTTTGACAATAATCTTATCGTTTAGAATATTATTATTTAATCTCTCAATTTTTGGTGCCAGCAATTAGAAAAATCATATATTATGCAATGCCGCTCAAGATGTTTAATTTGAAGATATACAATTTCTCATAAAGAGAGAAATTATTTGGAGAAACTGAATTTATTCTGTTTTCTAAAGGAAGATGTGGACTGCTTTAACGAAACGAGCGTAGCTGTCAAAGGCGGAAAACATTTTTCGGCTGATATCGTTATATATGCTACTGGTTATACGTTCAAATTTCCTTTTCTTAAGCCTCAGTCCGCGATTCCTATAAAGGTGAACGAGAAAAATAATTTCATTAACTTTCTGAAATCCAAAAGTAATTTTTAAATTTCACCTCAAGTTTTTTTTTCAAATTTGCAAATCAGTTGATTGATTTTGCGATATTGATCTTTTTATTAATTTTTTTTTTCGTTTGGCATTAAACCTTGGCATCCGCCGAAGAATTGACGATTGCATGATTTCCATATGTTTCGACAACAGCAAACAAGGAAACGAGATTTTAAGAAAATTATAGGAAATAAAAGAATATCACTGAAAAAAATTAAAGGAACATGAGGCAGATCTATATAAATACGTATTTCCCTTGGATTATCCAACATTAGCTGTTGTTGGTCTCGTTCAACCAATTGGTAGCATAGCACCTATAAGCGAGATGCAAGCCAGATGGATCGCAGCAGTATTCCGTGGCCAAGTTAAACTTCCAAGTAAAGTTGAGATGCATGCTGACATTGAACAGAAAAGAGCGGAACTTAGAAGGAGGTTCTGTTTTTCTCTTTTAAGTTGATTTTTCAAAATTCGAATCAGTCCATCCTTGTCTTTTCACGTTATCATTGTCCTTTTAAATTTGTTTAAAATTTTTATAACTGATATAATCATCGCTATGCCTTACTATTTTATTTTAATTTTTTTAACTCTGTTGTCTTCTTATTTTTATATTTCCCTTTTGGCCAAAAAAATTTGAGGAACATGAGGCAGATTTATATAAATGCGCAAGATTAGCCATTGTTGCTCTCGTTTTTATACTTTGTTACCTTGTTTAATCCCCCTTTTTGAAATCTCTTTTTGAAATCTCAGAATATGTAATAATTCAAAAAATTTTTATTCAATATAAAAATCTTGGGTGATGCTGGAAGCGTATTTGTATTTTTCTATCCTCATTTATTTTTGAAAATTTTAAATAGGTGGTGAAACCAGCCAAACCTAAACAAAATGAAGAAATCAGTGCTATAAGAAGAAAAATGTAAAAAAAAATTAATACTTTAAAAATTCATCACTTGCGTGAAATTTTTATTCAGTTGGAATATATTAGAGTAATTTAGAACAAATAATTTGCTAGCTTTTGTGTCTGCATTATATAACCTTTAATTTCAGATTCCGTTATTCGGTCGCTGTAATTTGCATCCTTAAGGTGACACTACGCCTATTACCCATTAATAATATCCTTTTATGATAATCCGTGAAATGTTTCAAATCCTCCATTTCCTCGTTAATACCTTCTTTGGAATCTTCTTTATCCCATCAACATTTCTTAAAGACTTGTTAATTTTCTGTAGTGCTCCATCAAACCATAACCGATTAGTAATATTACCATGAACTTCCTTGTATAACCTGAATCTCTTATCATAGTTTTGACTGATAAATTCCTCTTTGGAATTTCTTGCAACTCTTTATATCTCCAAAATCTTAATCTTCTTCAATATCTCATCAAATCATTATATTGTTTTGCCAGAACTCAACCCGACACGTCCTTATTTTAGAGCCAAAACCTGCTGTGCTCCTTTGTTGAAACCCACTAATACTTATAAAAGACAGTAAGACTGCTTGCAAAATCTCGACCAATGCTGAAAGCCCTTAATACCTCTCGATATCTGTCATATTCTGTGGAAAAACTTCACAAACTTCGCAAACGCAATCACATACTCTCTAATCGTCCTTTAAACCCAGCCGTACTTATTCGCCATAATCTTCTTAATGAGACCATTTTAAAGTCCTTTCAATTGCTTTATAGACTTTCTACTCCCATTTTATATTCCGTTAAACATAATAGTATACTTTTGCCACGGTCTTTATAAGCTGTAAATTATAAAATGTGTAATCAAAATGGAGAATATCGAAAAAATTTATCGGAATCGTATTTGAAAGTGTTAATGGGGAATTAAAAGGATTTCCTTAATGAAGATAGTGAAGAGGACTTGGGTGTTAGGAAATACAAGCGATTTTTAGGATATATTAAGGAATTTACAAAAGTTTGAGAACTATCCCACCTGTTCTTGGGACGAGTTTTTCGCAAGCCAACAATGAGAAAACTAAATGACACTGCGAGGTGCATTATTCTTTAATGATAAAAATGAATATTTTAAATTTTTCTTCTTTTCTGTTGATCTCGTTATTTTATTTCAAAAAATTGTTAAGGTACTATAAAAGTCCAAAGCATACGATACAAGTAGACTATATAAAGTATATGGATGAAATCGCTGATCTTGTTGGATGTAAACCGCAGCTAAAAAAAGTTGGCAGATTTAATTCAATTATCTATATAAAACTACTAAAAATGTATAACATATAAAACTAAATAGTTTAGTATTTTTTGACGGATCCGAAATTCTTCTTGCAATTATTTGTCGGTGCCAATGCTCCATACGTTTATCGCTTGGATGGTCCAGGAGCGTGGGATGAAGCGAAATTAACTATCACTGAACTTCCAAATCGTATTAAATTACCACTGAAGAATCGCGAATGTAAAGTGCGAAGGCATAAAAGGCGCGGAAAAATTGTAAATCTTGAAATATTCAATGAAATTTTCGTTCCTAAATAAGAAATAACAGAGCTACTCTCATATCAACGTTAGTGATGATTCAAATGCTGAAAATGGTACCAAAAAATTCAGAGAAAGTTTTTGAATATTTGCTTTTTTATTTAAATAACATTACTTCGAAATATATCCAACTGAATGAACCCTTTAGGATGAATACTTCCGTTATGGATCAATGAAATGGCTTTCTGGTTGGACATGTCTTATTCTTACTACAGGACTATGGACTTTCTGTTCTGGTCCAGCCGGTCTATCAATTTTGTCATACTCTCTCTATGTGCTCACATTTTTAATTCTTTTCTCTTTCATGTTACTTTGGTTTGATTTCCAATATGACATGGCCACAATATTTTAAAACTCATCCATAGGCTCAGGCGTAAAAATTTACGGTTAGAAAATAAAGCTTTCAAAACAAGTCTTCTGAATATCCACTTAAAAAATTTTTGCTAACTTCTCGATCTTTTTTTTTCATTTGAAAGATGCATTTTTTGAAAGCAATGGGCAACTCTCACTAACTAACAAATTTATATTTTTTTTCTTTTTGTTGAGAGAGCGGATTTTTTGACTACCATTTTAACGTCAAAAAAGTTCGCATAAATTAAAATAGTAAATTAAGACAAAAAATAGGAAAAATTCAATATAATAAAAATGACTAATAATGACTAACAGTTCACACCTCTCTTACTATAATAACTATTTATAACTAACTATTTTGCAAGTCATTCCACTTTCATTCGTTCCATTATCATCACCCATTTCGCATAATGCTTTCAATAATCCACAACTTTATGACATGAAAAACCTATAAAAAATTTATATAAATTAATTTATGAGAAAAATAAGGCAACAGAAGTAATTTTACTGGGTCCCAAGAGTGTCTGGAATTGAATGCTAGAATTTATATCGTGTTATTGTGAATATAAAAAATTTCCAATCGGAACAGAAAGAGAACAAAAATAATCTAACGCGATACCCAAAAAACTTAATTTGCTCTTTGCTGTAAAAAATTATAACAATCATTTACAACCACAGTAATAATAATAGTTAAAAAAACTTATAATATGTAAAGGTACAACGATGTTTAACTTGGAAATCAAACTTTTCTGGATGTCCGCAGCAAAACATGTTCGACTCCCATAATTTTTTTCCAAATTTATTAATTTTTTGTCGAAAATTTATTACTCCGCGTTCACGTTCAAATAACATTTTACAACAGTTAGAACAGGAACAATGAGCAAGCCAAATGTATCTTCAATCTTCAACCTAGCCTTTTCCAAAAATTTTTTGAGAGCTGTTTTGCCAAAAATTAGATGCAAATGATAATCCGGTGGCTTGCTCTTTCTTCTCGCTATACTAATTCAAAAAACTACAGTTCTCAGGACAAAAGGCATTGAAAAACAAATATTCCATTACAACTTATATTCGAGAATATTCGGGCTTAGTGGGTCATTGCTCAGTTTGGACCACCAAAGCTGAGGCTCGATTTCCTGCAGGAGCAGATCTGTAGAAAAATCCGGGTGATGCCGGCGATTCTCCTGCATTTCTATCGCCAAGAGAATCCCTGGAATAATGCCCAATGCGACGAGAAAGTGGAGAAAATTTAACCAGTAATGGTGAGGACTCTTACAAAAAAAAAATCCTATTATAACTATAAATTTCACTCAATAAAGCAGTTTTTGCGTCAAACTGATATTTATTTTTGCTATTAAAATATCCCTGTTCCTTTTAGGCGTTCCCTCTATTTAACCTGCTAAAACCCATTGCAGCCAACTGGAAGAAATGAATGTTTAAAAAAAACTTGCGGGGCATAGATTTTTTCAGTTATTTTCTCCAAAGGCATGAAAAAGACAAAGTTGATGGAAAGTACCTCTTTCGATTAAAAAAATCTTTGAAAAAGCCAAAATTCGGCAAATATTTCATCTAAAAGAAAAAAAAAATCAGACGCAATAATTTAGTATTTCTAGAAAATAAATCAAGAAATGGCACATGCTTTTGGGAAATTCATGGAATGTAGAAATGGTTACAAGTGCTGGCTTCTGCTATGTAAAGTTCATATAAAATATGAAAAAAAATTTATATAGGAAATTTATAACAAATTTCCTTCGCAAAAATTTCCCAAGTTTCTCAATCTCAACATTTTGTAAAAAATACAGATGAAACAATGAAGCCATTATTTTTTCAAGGGAATTTTAAAACAAAGGTAGTAAGTAAAAACCAAAAACATCAAAAAAAATTCGAATAGATGCTGATGAAGCTTATAAAAACAAGCAAATATTAATTCAGGACCAATCAATTCCATTTTTTCTTAATTGGCCTTTAGCTAAACTTTTTTTCAGTAAATAACTAATCGCGTACCAATCTCAACCAAATTAAATATATAAACGTAAAAATACAAAATAACAGCCGATACTAGTCGTGCATATGGTCAGTTCACCTGTATTTATATCATCCCAATGACTCCCAGGCAATTTGCCTTGTCCGACAAGCCACTTTACCAGAAATGCAAGCAATTTTAGAAATATATATATATATATATATATATACATATTTATGAAATATAAAGATTCTCTCCAGTAGCCTTAATTTTCATATAAGAAAAGGAAGAAATTATGATGACTACACAGACAAAATGTGCGAATTTCGTGTTTTTATGCTCACAATTTTGAAAAACGATTTTCTTTCACGAAACTCTCAAAAAAACTGTAACTTTCGCTGGATTCTCAGAAGAATCCATAGCCTCGACTAAACGACCTAAAAAAGAGCACAAAATTTAATGTAAAAGTATATTCACTCGTTTCTCATTCGAATGATTTAATGATTGAACGCATTTTAAATTTTTATTTGAAATTTTTCCCATCCTGACGTCGCTGCAAAAAATTTTTAAAATTTTACGTTTTTAGATAATTTTTTCACCAATTTAAGATGCAAAGGAATTTAGCCATAAAATAAAAAAATTGAAAATGAACAGGTATAAGCAATCTCACTTTGTTTTTAATTTATGATTAAAATTATAGTTCTAAAATTCTCATTTTCAAAACTGCTGGAGTTCAAAACATTTAGCCAAATAGTCCCAAATTTGTAAAAGAAGCACACTAATTAATATTCATAACACTAATAATGATAATGATAATAATAATAATATTAAATAACAACAGTAAGTAATAATAATAAATAACAATAGCAATAAATAATATCACAAAAGTTCAACTTTGAAAAGTTGATGAAAGCGTTATGAAAATTGCGTTTTCAACAAGCAAGAAGGCAAGAAAATTAATAAATTGAATAAAACAAAAACTGAAAAATATAAAAATAACAAATAAAAAATTATAAATTTAACATATATATGAGGTTATACAAGAATATGTAATATAAGTTAATATACAATATTTTATAATCGCACAAACAACAGAAGAAATATTCGCAATTTATAAAAATGTTGAGTACATTGTCTGAAACGACTATTGAAAAGCGAAGGAAGACTTTAGCTTGAGCGATGAAAATGACTTAAAAGACTTTTTGCCATGACCAGATTGAGAAAAAAAGGGAAATGAAAAGACTCCACACTCTCTAGCAAAAAAAAATGAATGAGAACTGCGGCACGAATACGGGGCAAAGAAACTTAAAATTTTTGAAGGAAATAGAGACTAGATAAATAGCGCAAAATGGACAGCTTGCAACGGTGGGATAAAAACAATAGGCAAAATCTTGATCTTGACTGATGCTCTTCCTCGCTTTTGGTATCATCCATCACAAAGTTTAGGAACTAGCAAGATAGAAAACGAAACTGACTTAACTAGCGCAGGTTTTGTTATCCTTTATGCAGATGATATTCCTGGATATCTCTGTCAGTTCGTCGTATTAAACAAGATTTAATTTATACTTATAAGATTTTGTATGGTTATATTCAATTAGATTGTTCAAAATATTATAATTTTAGGTTAAATTAAAATCCAACAAGAACTAATGGGCTAAAATTACTAAAACCTATGCGTAAAACTGAACTATGGACTCATAATTTCTTTATTCATAATATTAATTGCTGGAACAAATTACCGAAGAGATATAGCTTGTGCGCCATCCCTAGCTATCTTTAAAAATAGAATAGATAATATCATTTATGATGGTTCTCATCATGCAGGAAGTGTGAAATCTCGATTTTTACCATCCGATTATGGTTATTTCGGATTGTACTATACAGTATTTTGTAATTTCCTCTTTATTTCATCTTTAAATTGTTAATTTTTTTGTTTTTGTTATTAATTCTTATTATTTGTTATTTTTACTGTTGTTATTAATACTGTTATTAAGCACATGGCCCTGCTTGGCTGCTTTTCAATAAATAAATAAATAAAATAAACAAATATAATAGCTACTCCCTTATTTGTAAATCTTCAATTCATCCATTGCCATTTTAATCCTTAACAAGCACTATATAAACGACGAGAGACTTCAGCTATTCTCTAAAGGATCTTGTGATAATTGGCTAGGGAAGAGCTTCATATAAAAAATGATCTCGCCTCTCTTTGACTGCTCGAAAAGGTTTTGGAGTTTCACTGGGATCCATGTGTTATTCATGCACTGTATTCAACAGAAATTGCATTAACAGATAATCCTTATCGTTTCTTTGTAAAAGCGTTTTGAAACTTTCAATTTTCGGTTTTTTCGATGTTTTTAAAGACATTCAACAATTTTTAATCCAGAAGTCTGAGAAATTTTAGAAAAAATGGAAAAAACTTCCAAGCTGAATATAAGAAAATAAAAAATGCTGAAAAATAGTGGTATACATATATCTTATATCTTACTGAATTAAATTTACTGTAATAAATTTTGATTCCGATGAAACCGATATGAAATAGAAAGGAAATAGAAATTTCTCAAAAATTACAAAAAATACGAAATGATATGATATAAGATAAAAAATACATTTGGAAAAATTATTTTTTAAAAATTTTTGAAAAAAATGGACGGAATCCTCGATTTTTCCTTGATGACTGTATAGTCTCAGCGCGATTCACTTCTAATTCGGCATGTCTTATAATCTAAATTTAATAAAAATAAAGCATCTATAATAACCTGTCCATGTTATTATGTATATATTATTGTTTTGGCAAATCGCCTTTACACCCACTCCATTATACATATCTGATACTTCAAACTCCGCCCATTGCCTTAAAATCCCTCAAACTCTCTTAACATTCTCTAAACTCCACTGTGAGCCTAAAATTTCCCCAACCTCCTAGCAGCCTCTTAATTACATGGAAGTTTATAGCTTTGTAATACAGGACTATCATGCGTTCCAAGAATAGTGAATTTTGAAGATTCTTTGCAGTGACAGACTCGAAAGATGATAAAAAGATAATAAGATTAAATATTTGTTAAACATTAAAAATAAAGCAGTTTATGCACTTATCGCTCTATATGTGGCAAAGATAATACGCCATCTAGAGTGATGAACTAATGCGTAGTTAAAGCAAACAGAGGCCAAATAACCACGAACTTTGACAGTACAGGAAGAGGGGATGAATATAATCCACAAGGAGATCCTATAAGAAATATAAACAGATATATAAAGTCCTTGAATATACATGGTTCAAAAAAAGCGACATTGCATTCAAATTATTCATTTTTTCATAGTGACTTTTCTACTCTTACCCTATTTTATATTTTGTCTTTTTAGTCGCTATAGTAATTTTATTAAATTTTGAGTCTCGATCTATAATAAACTGACTAAAAGAAACGCTTTAACTTGATTTCTCCTAAAAAAAACGTAGAGATAAATATAGTTACTACCAATTAAAACTGAACTGAAAATGGAAAGGCAATAATCTTCAGTTTGAAACAAGATGTGAAATATTTTTAACAAATTGACATATTATGCGCAAATATTTTTATTTAATAATATATTCACCATTTCATTTCACCAGAAGTTGTCATTTTTCTTTCGACTTGAAAACCTCATATTTTCAGGTTCCCTGATGAAAAATTGCTCTAGATATTTTTCAACGTCGATCAAAGGATCTGGTGCAATCCTACAGATGAAAAAACACACCACACTTCAACAATTTTTCTTAATGAACAAAGACGCATGAAATCTGGCGCTCTCTCAAGAAATAAAATTCTGGTTTTTTTAGAGTCACTACTTTTAATGTCTCCAATTGGTCGTTCTTAACTAAAATCATTGACTAGTGCAGAAGAATAACAGAGAATTCCCGTCTAATATTACAAAACACAAATTTTCACGATTCGAAGTTTCATTTCATGACTTACATTACCTTATTGTGTCACTTTTTCCGTTCAATATTGTTAAAAACGATCTAATTTTTATAACACCACCATTTAGTTGCGTTTATACAATAAGCAGCCCACAGAGATATGAGTAGAGATATGAGTAGATGAGTAGTCAAATTTTTTTCATTCAAACATGTGAAATTCGTAAATCTAGCCCGTTAATATAAAAATAAATAAGTCTCGTGGACAATGATTTTCCAATTTTTGCTAACTCCATAATTTATTCTTAACCATGGCTTCCGTTTGCTTATTATCAGAATCAACCTGAGCATTCAGAGTAAAAAATCATTAACTTTAAATCTGTAAATCTATTTTGGATTACACATTTTCCAAAGATATCACATACCTTTTTTACTGATTGTGCAGTATTATCACTTTTACAGCGACATAAGACATCGAAAATCTCCAGCTCCGAAACGAATTTTAAAAAAAAAACCTTTGGAAAACTGTCTTTTATTCATTCATGTCTTTTAGTCATTTAGCAATGACCAATTTACGGAATTACCAATAGCAATGTACGGAAATGAAATGATACTAACTAACGTTTTGTATAATTTCATCATCAACATCCCCTTTACTACTATCGTCACTTAATGTTTCCACTGAATTTCTTTTCTCCCAAAATTCTCGCATGGTTGCATTAATTCTCTCGTTATTTAATGAATCTTGTTTAACTGAAACAATTTTAATACGGAACTAAAATCTGAAAATCTGTAAAGCTAGAAATAAGTAAACAAGTGAATTTGACTATAAAAGAGATGGAAAATAAAAAGACTTACTTAGCCGTTTAAGCCCAGAAATCTCAGTTCGTTCAATCTGATAAAATTTTGATAATACAGATACTTTTTCTGTTTCATTTTGTGCTTCTCTTAAAACACGCTCAATATCTTTTAATTCTCGAATTGTAGATTCACCGAACAAGACATCTCCTATATCTCCTAACAATTTATGAAAGTTTTTCCAACACCTTGATGCAAAAGGCTATATAAAATATATAAACCTCAACAAAAGAAGTGAGGAAGAAGCATGGAAATTTTTAAAAATCAAAGAAAATCACTGTAAATTTAAATAAGCTTGTCTCTGGATTTTCTTTATGAGGCACAACATAAGATTTGCGATATACAAAGTAACTGCATAAAGAGGATGACCAGGTTCAATCTTGTCTACTTTCCTAATATTCTGTAAATAACTACTGAATACATGCCTACAGTTTCTGCGACTGATTCACCTTCACGAGATGAGTTTGCATATATTTCATGATCCCACTTCTTATTGAGCCTAACTTCATCTCTAACCTTATTAAGGAGATTTTTTACTGCTTCATGCACAACTTTTTCTTTCGGCAAAACAATCTAAAAATATCCATAAATGAACTCAGCTCAAACACTGAAATATGAAAATGAAATTATACTTATAAAAAAATCGGTTAAAGAAATTATAGGTAATCATAAAAAAAGTTCAATATTCCCGTTGTAATTGTTGATATTAAAAAGTTAAAACTGAACGAAAACAAAAAAAATACCGATGATGGATGACGATTATGATTCACAGGAACTCCACGAAGCTCCGCAAGACGTTCTTCGATTTCCTTCACAGATAAAATTAATCCATTACCTTGACATATCAATAAAAGATATAGATTACACCTTCAAATTAACTAATATAAATTATAAGACAAGTAAAAAAAAATATTGCCTTTAATATCAGTATGGTCGGCTCGAAGTTTTTCTAACCTTCCAGCAATTTCCTGATCTTTTGGACTGAATTTTCGATCCATTTAGAACACTATAACAATTATTTCTCCCAGTTAAATTTCGATTAACAAAACTGTAAATGAAAACATATGTAAATATTCATTAGATTCACCAAATGGCAAAATCTATTGAAATATAAAAATATTTATTATATTAAATATTTCCAACTGAACAGTAGTTGAATGCGAATGAACCTAGTATGAAAGAATAATGTACGGTATGAAAGAATCTGCAAAAAAATACGGGACTGTTATAGAATAACAGCTTTTGAACTAAAAATGAAAGGCAATAAAATTTTATCCAAGTAGTTTTTTAACAAAAATACAAAGATATACTAGAAGATTATAGATTTTTCTGAAATCTTTTTCCTCTTTATCGAAAAAAATCATTTCATAAGATCATAGCAAAACAAATTCATATAAGTCGATGAGAAGGCAACACAATGGAACCAACGGTAAGATTTAACGAATGAATTACTGGAATAAATTACTGAACGATATAGCTTGTGCGTCATCCTTAGCTTTTTTTGTTAAACAGTCCTCACCTCACCATCACTGGTTAGACTCGCTCCACTGGCTTATCGCATTGGACAGTAAGCCAGGGAATACATTGGCGATAGAAATACAGATGAGTCGCCAGCATCACCCGGATTTTTGTACAGGTTTACTCCTGCGGGGAATCGAACCTTAGCATCGACGCTTCCAATTGAGCAACAACCCACTGAGCCATTCTATCCCCCGTCATCCTTAGCTATCTTTAAGAAAAGATAAGATAATATCATTTATGATATTATTTAAAAAGTTCACACCATGCAGGAAATGAAGGAAATGAAATCTCGATTTTTACCATCCGATTATATAATATAGTTATTTAGAATTGTACTATATTATATTATTCTGCAATTTCCTCTTTATTTCCTCTTTGAACTGTTAATTTTTGTCATATTTTCTATTTTTATTATTAAATTTTATTGTTTGTTTTTTTTTTAAACTTTTGTTATTAATACAAGCACATGGCGCTGTCGCCCTGCTTGACTGGTTATCAATAAATAAATAATTTATAAAAGTCAGTTACAGGCAATTATAAAAATAATTCATTATTCCTTTTCCCTTTGTAATTTACCTTCTTTATAGTGCCTAAGAAGCAAATAACTACCAAATAATATTCATTCGATGTAAAAATTATACCTTTCTAAAACGGCGAATAGCATTTAAAAAAAAGCTGCAACAATTAAAGTAAAACTGACAATTTAAAAAAACTCTATAAATAGTAATCGAATTTTGTATCAAAAAGAATAATATATGAATAAATCAAAAGTTACTGGCATGAAATGGCCAACTCATGAAAACTGAATCTATAAAAGATTAAAGACATAATGAACTTAAAACAACGAAATATAATACAAAATGAATGGAGGAAGTATGTTGCGAAAGATACGATGTGTTCTTTTAATAAATTAAATAGAACGAATTTTTTAGTTAAATTAAAATTTGTAATATTAAATAAGCTGGCAAAAGACTGTTTCAACAAGACTCAGAAACCAAACTCATACAAACATTTTTCAACCAATGATCGATCAGCTCCTTTTATTTTTATCACACCTTTTAGTTCATCGACATTAGTAGCGACTGGATGTTTTATTTGCTTTTCTAGCCATTTTTTCAAATCTTGTTCACACGCCTGAAAAAATAAAACCGCTAAACCAAAAAACTTAAAAATACTACTTATTACTTGAGACACTTAAGAATATTATTGCCGCTGGAGAAGATCTAAGATTTATAAATAAAAATTTCTGGATTTATCGTTTATAATTTGCTGCTCATTATTAAGTTATAAAAAGGGTGAGATTAACTCATTTAGATGCTAAATCACTAACAAACACATCTCCGTGAATCCTTTTTACAACGACGAGGTCTACAGCTTCATAGTCCATTGTCTGGAAGTTAAGATTATCTCGTCTAGTTTCCAGAAAAAGTGGTAACATATGATTTCGGAGACGGGCAATATAATATGGTAAGCCAGTTGCAGCTGAAAAAAATAAAATGGATATTAAATAAAAAATTTTTTAAAATTTTTTGAAATTTTTTATTAAGAAAATAACCTACGTTTCGGTGGTCTCCATCCACTTGCTGTCGGATACTTCGAATGCAGTGGAATATCTGGGATTATTTTATGAGATAATAACCGCTCAACATACTTCCAGTCAACATGACTCTCCACAAAATCTGTATAAGTCGCTAGAAAAATACATGATTATGGAAAAATTATGATAATTTGCTCAAAACTTCTTATATGAATATGGACCAAATTACTAGTTCATGGAAATGTGGAGTTCCACGAAGTAAATTTGTTTTAATTGTAATATAATAATATAATAATAATATTGTAATATAATTGTAATATAATAATAATAATTTTGTAATATCGAGTCAGACGATAAAAGAAAAATGAATGATGTACGTTTATTCTACTTTTTACATTTTAAATGCATTCTTATATGATTCTTCTTTTAAATGTCTTTTGATAAATGAACTGACGTAGAGCTCTAAAGTTTTTCCTCAGACAATCTACAGACTGGGTTATGAAAATTCCAGAATATGACATCACAGACCTTGAATAAGCTCAAGTACCACCTGTATTGAGTGTATAATTACCGAACGCCGCTTAAGCTGGTTATAGGCCGCGTTCTTCGCAGCTTACCAAAGAAATTCATATATATCTCCCTATATAATGCAGGATGGAGCCAAAAGCCAAATCAAAATTTGGATAGACATAATCAGGAGGATTTTCATATATCACTCAGCGATGTAAGTTAGGGCGATGGAAAAGGACTGGTTTCACTTAATTTCTGGTATGACCTCGGATTAAGAGACTTGAAAACGCCTAACTATAACCGTAACGGCCAGTCAAACCAGTAATGGTACTAGATATTAAAAGAAGAAATGTTCTTAAACATAAACTTCTTAAACATTCTTTCTTAAACATAAACTTTCTTTATTAAATATAAACTTGTTTCACCTATTTTTGCTGTTTCAGATCAAGTGAATTATTTTTATAATTATTTTAGCTTCCAAATACTTAAAATATTTAAAATATTTATAGAACTAGAAATTAACGTTTATGCTAGTTTCAACAATCAAAAAGAAATTTAAATTTTTATTTTTTATTTTTTAGGCTTCAGGCTTTTAGACTACTTAGGAAGTTTTTAAAATAAATTTTCCCGAGAATAAGTTGAACTATTTTCCGCGCGTGAGAAGCTCAACTACATACTATTCACAATTTTACCATATTATTATTATTTATTACTTCAAGCAGTAAGAACATGTAGTTACCTGGCTTATAATCAATAAGTATGAACGTACAGTTTTTTTTTTTAAGAGTCCTCACCATTACTGGTTAAATTCGCTTCACTGGCTTGTCGCACTGGGCAATATGCCAGAGAGTCCCTTGGTGATAGAATTACAGGTGAGTGGCCAGCATCACCCGGATTTTTGGACAGGTTTACTCCTGCGGGGAATCGAACCTCAGCATCGGCGCTCCCAATTGAGCAGCAACCCACTGAGCCATTCTATCCCCATATCTATGAACGTACAGTTATCTACCATTCAAAACATATATGGTAAACAATAATACATAAAAATACAAAATATAAAAAATATAAAAAAGTCAACTTCGATAATTTCGTAAAGAAATAGGAGAAGCCAAATAAAATTTCGAAACTTATTAAATTAATTCGGTTCAGTTGAAAAAAAAAAAATAAAATGAGGATGAATAGTTGGATAATAACTTCCTTGTTCCTAAATCAACGTTTAAACGAACCTTCTTTTACAAAATTTCGCAAAGGATCATCCCATAACTGTTTACCTCCTTTCGAAGAAAATCGTCTTATATTACACCACATATATGATTTTAACGCCTTTACTACTCTCCACATTCCAGTAAAAAGGTACAAAATTTTTCTGCAAAAACAGTTTCGAAAATTAATCAATTTAATTAATAAAATAAAATAACCTTTCTCTTTCTTTGATATCGTAATAATAAATCAATTTTTATATCAAATCAATTAATAATCATATTAAATTAATTAATTAATTAGTAAAATTAATTATTAAACCAATTATAAATTGAATCACTTATTTTTTTTAAAACAATGAAGCAGAGCGACAAGCGCTATGCAAGTACATTAATGGGGTATCAAATGAAAATAAATTAGTGATATCAACATAAAATACGAAAAAAAAATGTGACCAAAAGCTAACGTAAAGGGAAAAAAAACAAAAATAAAGAGGAATAACAAAATACACAAGATAGGGCAACACGACGAAGCAGAGTGCATCCTAACCAAGCTGGATTCAAACCGGAACGCGGTTGTGCTGACCAGATATTTACACTAAGAAGGATGCTGGAACATCGCTTCAAATACCAGCATCCCACCCTCACTTGCTTCATCGATTTTGCAGCTGCCTTTGATTCGATTGATATAGCAGCGCTTTGGACAATGATAAAATGTGACGGCATTCCAGAGAAGATCATTCCGCTGATAAAGGCATTTTATCAGCATACCCTCGCGCTGTGTTTGTGGGGAACTGACAGACTTCTTCGAAATAAGAACTGGTGTCCGTCAAAACATCCTTTTCTCTATAGTATTCAGCTATGCGATAGAATGGATAATGGACACCGCTTGTCGACTCGAGGTATACAAATCAGTCCAAAGCATAGTATCACTGATCTTGAATGCGCTAATGATGTAGTCTTTTGCTGACAGTTATAATGAAATGCAAATAATATTAAATAATGTATTAACAACTGCAGCGAAAACCAATGTAAATAAAACGAAAGCGAAGGCGTATATACAAGATGTGATAAAATACTTATTTTTATCAATTCATTGCCGATTGAGGAAGTGTCCGACTTTAAATATCTTGGATCCACTCTAATCCCAAATGACCAGGCAAAGGATGAAATTATAACCCGGATAACAACAGCTAGAAATGTTTTTTCCGGTTGATGAGACCTTTATCAAGCCGTCGCGAGATCACCATAAAAATGAAAGTCCGCGTCTATATGAATGTGATTCGCATTCGCATGATCTTGATATATGGCTGCGAGGCATGGCTAATGAGAGTGGAAGATATCAATAAGCTATCAGCCTGACCACTCATGTCTAAGTTATATTTTACATATCCGTCGAGCGTAAAATCGCATATGATTGTATCCATCTTCGCTCAAATATCACCTGTATTAATAATCATAGAGCATCGTCTTCGCTTGTTGAAGCACGTCCACCACGGAAGTTGACGTATATTTCGTTAATTGTTAAACCATGTGATGGATGGCGTCAAAATCGAGGTAGGTCAATGAAGACCTGGAATGATACGGTTAGAAACGCATAAGGGGACCAGCGACATACGGACTTAGACGATGGAAAAAGGAATGGCTTCTATTACTATTAGCGACTGCATCGAACCGAGCAGCTTGGAAATGACTTATTCTTGTAGTCAGCCTAACCAGTAATGATAAGAGCTGTTAGAAGGAGAAGACCAAAAGCTAATGTAAAGGGAAATGAAACAAAAATAAAGAGGAATTTTAAAATAATACAAATCAAAACTCTAATACGCAGACAACGGTAGCTAGAAATATGTTCTTCCGATTGACGAAAACCTTTAAGGAATAGAAAACCTTTAAGGAATAATGAAAGCATCATAAAAACGAATCTGCGTCTATGTGGCTGCGATTCGTTTGATTTTGCTATATGGCTACGAGACATGGCTAATGAGAGTGAAGGATGAAGGACATTAGGAAGTTATCGTCTTTTGACTACTCATTTCTAAGATCATTTTATGAGTCAGCGGATAAAATCTCACAAGACTGCATTAACAGTACTTGCCTCTGCTGGTTAGGGCACTCTCGAATATTCTAGGCAAGTTCTTCACTGTCCATCACAGCAGTTAACACATATTTACTTACTTGCTAAACCCTATGGTGGATGATGTTAAAAGTGAGGAGGGCCAATTAAGACTTGGACTGATATAGACAGAAAAGATTTTGAACGCATAGATGGGTGCACGATCAACAGATGGATTTAGACGATGGAAAAGGGAAGGCTTATATTATGTTAGATATAGCATCGAATTAAATAGCCTGGAAATACTTTACCCTTAGCTAGCCTTAATGATGAGAGAGCTATTAGAAGACGAAGAATTCTGATGCAAACGGAATCTATTGCTAACATACAATCTCATGCTAAAAGACCAAAATTTCAAAGTTCCTACAGCTTTACAAGAATTAAAGCTTTAAAAATAATATCGATAAATAGATGGTAATATCTAAGCTTTTTTAAAAATGGCTAAGGCTGATATACACACTATGTCATTCGGCAAGTTTATTCCAGTAATTAATAGTGCAAAATCGGTTTTAATAATTTTAGCTCATTAGATCTTGTTGGGTTCAAATTTATTTTAACCTAAAGTTATATTAACATTTTGAACAATCTAATTGGACATAAAAATTTATTTTAGAATAAAATCCTGTTTAATCTGTCGAAAAAGGAAGGAGTTTAGATTATATAATTGTTTTATAATTAAGATTGCTATTACGAAGCAAGTATTTCTTGAGTTCTTCAATCAATTTACTTGGTTTGTGGTATTTAAAGCAATAAAAGGTTGGTTATATTATATTACATTCAAAAACAGATCGAATGAAACTAACAAACTTCTTTCGATTTCTGCTTAAATTTTTCATTCAACAATTTATTTATTTATTTATTTTTCTTTTATTGAAATTTAAGTAAAATCTCTTAATTTTGCTCATTGAAACAAGGAGAGAAAATTGAATTACAATAAGAGAAATACGATAAGGCGATGGTAAAAATATGAAATATGCTTTGCATACTTTGATAAGAAGTTTTCCAGTCCTATTTTTTAAACTACCGAAAAAAAGATTTAGTATTTCTTGAGGATTTCTTTTCAATGATTCTGCAGTGAAATCAAGATTTTTATCCACAACCACGTTAAAATTTAAGATATCCGACGTAAGTCTGATTATGTTACCATTTATAAAGAGATTAGGAAAATCAGATTTTTTCGAATTTATATGTATTACGCTACATTATTGAACAGAAAAGAGTAATTTGACAGCCATATAAGCATTTAGCGATTTACTAAGGTCACCATATAATCAAGACAGGTCCTACCTACCATGAGAATAATAAGTTTTACAGCCATCAGCATAAAGATAAATAGTAGAACTTGATTTCAACTTAATACTGGTGACCACTGATATACAATAAACAAAGCAATAGTTCGACACAAGTGCCATGAGAAAAGGTTTAATTGCAGCCATGCCTGAAAATTGACATGTGCAGCTTGCAGCTTAGCGACCCTTTAAGTAATCGAATATTCAGAAACGACTAATATCATTTTTTGATTATCGACTGATGCTGACTAACCAAAAAAATTCGCCAATATTTATGAACTGGATTTTTTCATTCTGAAAGGATATTATATTATTGGCATAAAAATAGCTAATATTGCAGATCAGTCTCACCAGTATTCTGCTACCAATGTATGTTAGGCTAACAGGCCTGTAATTCGAAGGATCATAGGTATTTCTTTTCTTATTAATGGGATTTATATGGGATAACTTGCATATTCTTGGATTTAATCAATATTTCACAACATTCTTATAAGTTATAAATTCTTATATATTCTAATAATAAATTAAAAGCAGAGAAAGACTTAGAGATTGCGCAAAATATATAGAAATTATCGGGTCCAGCTGATGGTTTGTTCCAGTCGATGGTTTATTACGGCATCATAAGCATCGCGTTATTTCAGTCTCACTGAGAAAGCCGCAAAAATTTCCATTTTATTTAAAGAAGGTGCAATTAATTTTAAAATAACTAAAATTATTGCAGAAATTAATTAATAATTGTGAATTAATGAGAAAATTATATTGAATCAATTAAAAATTGTACTAAAATAGAATAAATTAATAATTAACGAATTACTGCTAAAAAATTAATGAACGAAATGAACGAAAATCATATAAAATTCATTAATTACTGCATTAAATTATTTAAAGAAAATAGAGGAGAGCAATTGCCACACGTTGATAGCTTTACACATCAATAAAATGCCAATAAAAAGGAAAAAATAAAAAATGAACGAAAATTACACCATTCATAAATAGACCGAGGATGTCTGAGATAAATCGCGTTATGGAAATCCATTTAATTTAAATGAATAATTAACTAAGCACAAAAGTTATTTTCACAATATTCTTACAGATTCCACACGGACGCGGACTTACGGTCATCTACTTTAAATTTTCTGGCAATTCTGACCCAAATGATGCAACCTCCTTCATGATGCAGCTGAAAAAAATACCCACAAAATGTATATCACACTGCCACCCCCTTTAAAGTAAATGCTCCTTCGCCTCAACACAATTTACCGAGAGATAGCAAAGCCGCACATATTACTAGTTGTCGGTGACTGTCCTGAATTTTTGTCTGCAATTATTATGTCATCGTCCGCCACGTTTCCCCAACTGCGATCGAATCGCTTAGAATTTTTGTTACTCTTGCGTATTTTGCTTATGAATTGTATAAAAAATGAAGTGGAATTAAGAAATTTCTGTTTTCTCATTTTTTAATGGTTTCCGAACAGCGGACACTTCTCTATTCGCTATCGGTATTCGTCACAGGAATTTCAGTTAGAGAAAATTGCTTGACTCTTATTATTTATTATTATTGCTTGAAATTCACGTGTATTTATTTCTGCCATTTCCAAAACAATTGGTGCTTGGTGGTAAGTTCGCGATTTAAGCGCTGAACCGCAGGTGACCGACAAGGGCGACCGCGAGTTCGAGACAACCTGTTTTACCTCTAGGAGACTTTTCACAATAGGGAGGCAATGGACAGTTGGGAGGACCACAGGAATTAAGGAAAATTCTAGCCTTATATTTTTTTAAGGCTAAAAAATTTTCTGAAACTCTAAGTGGTGATCGTAGTGTCTTTTTTCATCTCATCTCTAATCTTATTCAAAACCGCATGGTCCTGCATTTTGCAGGCAACTTTCGAAGCTTTACCTTTTTTAGTGGATTAATTAAATCTTTTATTTTAATTATCGAAATTTTTGGTTTTTTTTTGGTTCTGTTTTCTATAGGGATTTGATTCTTTGAAAGCTTTTCGATTCCTAAATAATCCACCGACTTATATTCAAATCATTAAAAAACCAATATACATCGTCAATACTACGTCAAAATTTTCTTGTGGATGGTTGTGCTTTTTTAAGTTAGATTTAATGGCGATGGAATAAAGAAATATTTCGATTCGCCTAGTAATTTAATCGATTTAAGTAATTTAACTTCTACCATAAAGCAAAGCAGTTTGTTGAACTGCGCACAGTTCTCCTCCTATTTTATAAACATAAACTATAAGTAGATAGATAGATAGATATCTACTGTTGGTGACATGTTGAGCTGTTGCCTAAGTCAGGGCCTTTCAAACGTTGGTTCGCTGACCAGAAGGAGGCATCGAAGAAAAATTTCCAACTAGTTTTTAAATGCAATCCTTGGAAAAAATTTTTGAATGTTGAATCCATGTAAATAAAAAGTAATCTCTAATTTCTTCATTGTAAAGCAGCATTGCAGTTAATTAGCACATTGCGAACTGCTAATATCTCAGTACAGGCAAGCGTTCTTGCTAAGAACCGTTGGAAATATTATTCGTATTGCGAATTGTAGGATTAATTCAAAAATCTGGTTTTCTTAAGGTTCCATGTGGATAGATAGATAAAAGGGTAGAGGAAAGGGAGTGAATTAGAAAATGAGGGATATAGTTTATGATCTTTGCTTATCATTTCGAAATATTGTTTTGGGGTTTTTCTGTCGCTGTTGTTGTTGTTGTTGTTGTCTCCACTCAGCTTGGTACTGCAAGCGAAATTCCAGTTTCTTACCCTTAAACTTTTTTTACAACTGAACCTTTGTTTTGCTAAATCTAAAACAAGGAATTGTGAGGTTAGGAAGAAATGTAGACAGTGTAATGTCGAATATTTTAAATATGGTTTTATTCAGCCGCCCACAAATGAGGCATTGACAATATGCCTGATTTGCCAATGCATTCACCAGTGAATGTATGAAACCGTCTAGACTATATGATCATTTCGAAGGAGTTTATGCTGATATAAAATGTATCGCTTTTCTCATACTTGAGGAATGATTTTCAAAACGACGGACGTTGGATGACATATATTCAACCGCATCCAAGGAAAAAAATGGTGGGTGTTGCGTCTTACAATTTCCTATTTCCTTGCTCATCGCTGACGAAAAAATCACACATAATTGATGAAGAACAAATTTTTTTTTCCATTAGGAAAGTCATGCATACTGTTTTGCGCATACCGTTTCATCAAGAAAATCAAAAAATTTCTTCGAGCAAATTGCAGTACAGAGGTAAATTGATGAAATTGTCGCTGCCGTTGATGTTTCATTATGTGTGAACCAATTTTCTTTGAAGATTGATGAATCAAATTTGCCAGATAACATTGGCATAGTTTATAAGATGAATTTTTTTAAGTTTTCATTCGCTAAAAATTTGAAAACTATTACTGATTACTGATATGAATGATAACTATTACTAAAGAAGAATCCATATGTAGTACAAGACTTTTTGGAGAAAGTAAGTTTTTCTGAACAATAATTTACGTCAATAGCTACCGATTGTGCTTCAAATGGTGTGTGGCTATCGGGAATTCATTTCATCTTTAACTATACAGTCTCAATGATCGCTTACGTCGATCTTTACATTAGTCTCTTAATCATAATAATAATAAAGACTTTCAGATGTTAAATAATTCGCCCTCAAATTGTAATATTAGAAGAGGCAGTCGATTGAAAAATTAGGCCTGTTTGCGAAATTTAAATTGCAATTTTTTTATTCGTTGTAATTATTACTAGAATAAGTAAAGAAGTATAACAGATCCTTAGCCTTGATGACATTAATTTTTGTCTGCTCTCTAATCTCTAATTTTTGTCTTTTTTTGTCTGCTCTCTAATCCATTTTTTTATATTTTTTATATTTTATATATGTTGTTGTTTATTGTTTGATAATGCTTAACAAATTTTTCGAAAAGTAGAGAAATAAAATTTTATTAAATTAGGTTGAAGAATATTCTGTAAGTTATATCGAGGACAGTAATTTCGATTTTCTTTATTGCTTCATATTGGCTAATAATAATAATAATAATAAAGGCATGAGAAAGAGCGCGTCTGAGGACCTATCACGAAAAAAATTTATGTTCATACCGAAATTCATACCGAATCATAACCACTTCTATCATTCATTCATCATTGGTGAAAGTGAAGTAAAAAATATTTAGCGATTTCGAAACAACATAAGTAAATGATAAACCATATAGCCAGATTTTTTATGGTGAAGTATGGCAAAGTGGCCATTTAGCAATATATATATGTACATTCAAAATAAAATACACCTCAGTATCATTTCAAATAAGCGAAAAGTGCGCAGGTCACAGTAAGCATTATGAATCTCCTTCTTTGGTCCACTTGATGAGAGTTGCTGGTGAGCGGAATAGGAAAATTAATTTTGCAAATAAATCCTCCTCAAGTTGAAGTTCCCCGGCTTCTCGAACCAAGTTTATGTCCAGGCAAAGTCGCAAAATTCGATCAACATTTGGCAGCTCTTCAAACATTATCCTCTGAAAACTTTTACGCCTTTGAAAGAAAAGAAAATTTAGTGCTTATTGACATTAGATGTTCGTTTGAACCTACCCTTTAAAAAGACTTATTACAGAAGTGATTAGACGGGTCATACAGGAAATATTTGTGTGATACATTTTTTTAGGTGATTGGCAAAACAAGCAAATTAAATTGCTTAATTGAAAAACAATATTTATTTTAAATATTATAGATTCCCTTGGTTTACCAATTTCTATTGATAATATTAAAGCAACAATTGTGTTAATGCAATTTCAGACCTTGGTTGAAACATTGTAATTTTGATAGTAGAGTTATTGTCAAAAAATCGTCTAAAATTCTAATTTACTTAAATTTAAAATGAGTCCATAACTTTTCTTATCAATATATATGATTTCGCCTTCTCTTAGAACATGATAATAGTTTGTCCCTATTTAGCAAATCAGTTGAACTGATAAATTCTTCATAGTACTGTTGGAATGAATTATCCACTAATGTGGTAATATTGCATTGAAGTAATGAACAGCAAAGATTATACCTGCATAGCACCTGTAACCAAAGATCGCAACAAACGTCCAAAAACCAGCACCATGGAAAGATACAAACTAAGAATACCACCACCAGTGATTATACTAAACGTCACTGGGAAAACCTTAATTTCAAAGCAAAAATTAATGAAAATTCTCAAATGAAAATACATTAATATTAATAGTATTTGAGTGGAAAACATATGGACTTAGATTTAGGTGCTTAGCCAAAATATATCTCGGAAAATTCTAAATCTTTTGATTCATAAAAAATTTTTTGTTAGTATCAGTAGTTCTTGATGTCAATCTACCTCTAAGCTAGGCAAAAGAAAAGGTTCACTTTATCAACAAATCCATAAATTAAGATGTGATCCAGGACAATAGGGTCCCGCTTTAATAGAGGATCAAAGCAAGGGTCGATCATCCTGAGTTGCCACCACTGTCCGACATCAGCGGAGTCTAATTGTAATAGTGCATCATAAAAGACAGAATCGATTGGCTTGTCTTTGCTCTGAAATTGCATATTTTTTTTCCAATATTGATGAAACTCCAATGTTTTTCTTGTCGTAGAATACATAAGATAGTCTTCATTAAAATACGGGAAACAGCGGCTGAATTCAGAAGAACATTGTGGGATCAATCTATCAATTCTATTTTCTATTTCAGCAATTTACGCTTGAAATAAGTCAATCATACTTAAATCAGTAAAATCACAGGTGGGGTTCCCAGGAATGCTCGGATCCAGTATTTAATGACAGATTTACTCCTGCCAAAAGAAAGGAATCAAACCCTCGTTCTGCTCATTACAATCGAAGTAAAGTGCAACACAAATATTTCATATTTTAATGTTTTTTTTCATAAAATCAAATTTCAGTTCGAGGACGACCTGGTCATAGATGATTCTTTCAGATATAATCATAGCCGAAATGTAGTGGAAACTTTTTATTAGCACTAGATGTGGATCACAGTAAAATCTTTTATCAATATTTACCGCAAAATGAGCTTAAAGTATGATGCTTTTAGATATAAACAAACCTGCAAATGTTCATTAAGTAGAGCATGTACATAATCTGCTTTACCTTCTCCTGGGACTTTCACTAGCGGCACCAGCAGGTTCGGAATATATCTATAGTTATACAGTGAATATATAAAGGTATAAGGGATTCGGCCATAAAATGCCACATTTTTCAACATGTTCACTTACATCACAAATAATAAAGAATATTAATTAAAAATTAATTAAGAATATTAATATTAATTAAACTAAGCAGCACTTCTATAAAATGATCTCAAAATCAAGCTGTGTTATTCATAAAACTACGAATGAAGTAAGCAGTCAGTAAACCGGCCAATCATATGAAATGAAATGAAACTTTAAATAATACATGGATTTATTAGATCCTGTAGCTATCACTTCAGCTAAATCTTTTCGCACTTGATCACCAGCATTGATATTTATAGTTCGAGAGCTTTCTACCACGCCAAACTGTAAGTTTTCATTGGGAGCTCTGTAAAAAATTTCATATAAATGCATAGAAATATTTGGTTCTATATTTTGAAAAATATATTATTATAAAAAATGTCTAATGGCAGTCAAAGTTGTTTAGAAAGCTTTCGACTTCGTGATTGAAAATCTGTTTTGTTTGCTTATTTTCTTGAAATATTTGCATTCGAAGGATAACCTTTTGAAGTACCATTCGAACTTAAGAGTCATTGGCAAAGAACCATTAAGATCCTCGATTAAAGCTCCTTTTGATGGTGGTGATATGTTCCATAGTGAATATGAATTGCCATTAATCGATGCTTTCACTACATCTAAGTGGTCATAATCGGCCATATATGACAGTGCCACTTTATTCATTCTATAAATATACTGCAGATCCTCATATTCTATTGCTGATAACTCGTGAATGTCTCCATGTTGTGCAGTCGAATGAAAAAGTGGTTCATATCCGCCGATTGTTAATTTGCAGGTACATTCTATTGGTAAATTTCTTGTGCCAACAGTATTAGCCATTGAAAAAATGACCAAAGGAAACCAAATGATGAGGACTATTCCAACTAGAAGGAAGCCTCCAAGACCGTACTTTAATATCGGCCGTTTTTTAACACCTTTAGGAGAGGGATAATCCTGAAATTTAAAAGTGCTTTAAAATGACTCGAAATAAATTCAGAAACAAGTAATAATAATTGTTAGCTTAATAATAAATTACCATTATGTTAAACTAAACCATTAAACTGATGCATAGAATGGATTGTTTTACATAATTCTCGAGCCTCCAGGATGAAACCATCATCTTCGCTTAAGCAAATGACAAAAATAAAAGAAGGAAAGGTAATTAATGTCCCACCTCTTCAATTTTTCTTTCACATTTGATCATATAGACATGCGCATAAATATCATTCAATGTGAACCAGTCGCCAACGCCAAGAGAAGTATCAATCCACATCCAATCCATAAGCGCTCGCAACTCGAAAAGAAAAGGAATAAGGAGGAATCTAAATTTAAGATGGTCCTATTGTTAAGAATCCTTTTGAATTAAATTATTCAAAGAAATGAAATCTTACACACTAAAAGTAAAAACTTTAGTAAACTCACGCTTTATATAGTAACCAATTAATTAATGAATAGGAATTCGTAATAATATTTCCCAAACTTCGATTATGATAGCCTGCTTGGATCTGAAAAAACAAATATCGGATATGTTGGAGTGGAAATTTTTTAGCATAGAGAAGGACTTTTTGAAATCTGTATTTTATTTTGAGATAATTCCGAAATTCTGGATGCAACATTGCTTTTAAACATTTTACCTGCTTAGCAGAAATGAGAAAATAAACTATTTTTGTGAAATAAAAAAGTTTGCTCGGGTAATTGGTTACAAAAGCTCGATCAGTCGTCGCAGGTAAAATAAAAAATATCCAGATATGTGTGAAGATTACATAGGTGAACTGCAAAATCTCATATGCATTAGTTATTTACAAAAAAGATAAATGAGGCGAAATGAAAACAATCTGATACAAAGAAAGCTTTGGTGTAAAAATATATATTATATATATGTAATATATATATTGTCCTTTATGTGAAACCATTGCTCTTGAATTTGTATATTATATATAAATTATATATATTTGCTAGAATAGCGTAGTTTGGCGCATGACTAGTATGAAACGCAAGAACAAAAAATCGAATCTACCTTTGCAGTGAGGATCTTTGGGCAAAGACGTGAAAGCTTATCTGTACCTCAAATAAGAGAGTGTCCTGTATTAGAGTCACTAGAGTCATGCCTGGGACGTCGCCCGGATTAACAAGGCTCGCGTCAAATGTTGAGGAACCAGGGCTTTCATGCAGAATCAAGAAGAATAGCAATATATGTCGCTCTTGAAAAATGAGGCGGAGAATATGAACAGATCACAACTACCACAGAGATCCGAGTTAAAAAAAGAAAAGCTAGGAAAACACCTGGTTAGGATGGCTTATAATAAACTAACAGCGGTTCATAAAAATCTAGCGACACAGATGAACTAGCTGCTCGTGTCAGGCTCGATTGGTTAACACAGGGAAAGACGCTACTGATTATGAAAAATCTTTATATGGGAACAATACTTTCTAATTACTGGTCAATGACCAATAACCTGTGTTTCGATGGGAAGGAAAGTCTATATAATAGCCATGAAGCTATAAAACCATATGAGCCATATAAACATAGTTAATATGGGCATTTGGCGTAACACCAGAAGCTCAGAACATCGAATGCTAATAGATAGGACAATCGCCCAAGATTCAAAGTCTCGACAAACCAATTTAAGCGAAACCCTATGACTGAATGCCCCACACATGGATCTGTGAATTTCTGGTTTTCTTTATGCGGAGTCAACAGAACCTAAAGATTTTCGAATTCAACTGGACTATGCAAAACGACACTAGAAGTCAACTCAAAACAGTTTGCATAAGGCATATATCAAGATGATGCAATGCAATGTTTTCACTAAAGTTCTGCATAGATCTCTCTCAGCAAGGTGCTTAGAGCTCGGATGGCGAACTATGGATAGACGATAGTAAAGGGAGGATAAGTGGCTAAAACTGAAGGGACTAACAAGTACACAGCAGATAACTGCAAGTGCCAGTGTAAAGACCCAGAAAGTCTAATGCGCGAAAATAAATCTAATACTCAAAGACTGTATACCAACTGGAAATGAGGAGTGGATAAAGCTTGGTGAGTAAGCCGCTGTATGAAGCATGAAACATCCAGGAATCAGCAAGATGGCACCAAAAGATGAGCTACTGAGAGAATGTCTGAAGCATCTACAGGCACTGAAGAAAGAACAAGCAGAAGTAGCATGAAAAGTAAAGCTCTCTATGAGAGAAATATCATTGATGAAGTTGATGAGGTAGTTGACGCTGAAAAACCCTACCTAGTCTAAAAAAACATGAGCTACTGAGGCACTGATCATGGCAGCAGGTACTGAATAGCCATTGAAACAAGGATCTACCATATCAAACAGGGTTCAAGATGCAGAACGTGCAGAAAAGCCATCCAACATAAAATTTAAAAATCAAGTAGGAACAATATCCACTAAAAACATAAACAAGTAGCCGGCATTTTTTCATATACATGGCTTGGATCCTCCAAAGAAAAGATTGGAGATTGCCTAAAAATCATGAATAATAATAATAATAATAAGGCGAAGATTCTATGGATTTGCCCCATCTAGACAGAAAAGAAAATGCTGGTAAACTACATGTCGTGGTAGTAGACAAGAATCGCAAATCAGCACTGGTAATAGATATAGCAATACCAAGTAAAAGGAAAATCAGGAAGAAGGAATATGAGAAGCTAGAGAAATACTAGAGATTGAAAGAGGAACTAGAGAAGTTTTGGAAAGTGAAAACTAATTTGACCTAGTGGTGCTAACAGTAGGGGTACTAAACTATCTCTACTGGGCTCTGAAAAAACGAAGATCTTCGTCCAGAAGAGCGTGATGCTAACAGTTAAGATACTGCGTATCAAGCTCCTAGGCTTTTAATAAAGGATCAAGGACCCATACCACCCAGAAAAATATGTAATATATATATATATATATATGTATATGGAGAATAAAGGGATAATGGTATGGAAAGAAATAACCTGAAGAACAACTTTTCCCAACAAAAATTTGCGCAAAAATATTGCTCGGTCTAAAATAATTAGTACAAATTGAATTATGAGCATCGATACAAGCGTTGCAGGTACTTTATTCTCTTCAAAATAGGCCGTCACACCACCATCAACTCCACCGCTATCCGTCTGTAAAGATTCAGAGCATAATTTCAGTTTTGTGATACAAAAATTTTGCAGGATTTAATCACTTAAAGCTTCATAAAATATATTGACTACTGGTTCACAACTATGATTGCAAAATCCACTTATAATGCAGAGATTTTCAAAAATTTTCAACAAACTACTTTGAATTACTTTGGTATTACTTTGAATTAAAAAATTAAATAACATGAATAACATTTACTCCAAATGCAGAATATCCAAAAATAATGATGAGAAAACAGACTGCATCGCAGAGGAACATTGGGGCATACAAATCCAATGGGCATCGGTCGACAGGATTCAAAAGAATATGTAAAAAATTTCGGATTGAAATGATGCGCAATTTTATGCTAAATTTGCTTCAGATAATGATGATTGAGAAATGGTAGATAATGGTATTGTGCCCTAATTATTCAGTAATACTAAAATATTCAATATATTTTTGGTATATTCAAGTTTGCTGACAAAGGTGTATGAAAAGTTAAGCCGAAATTATTACAAACTTTACTGTAAAAATTTTTTTGGTATTCGTAATTTCACAAAAATCTCTGAAATTTTCCGTGAAAAATGGCAAATATACGAGAATGCATATGGAATATTAGGAAAGTTACTGGCGTATTATTAGTTCCGTTGGACACAAATTGGAAGCATATCGTTTAACTACACTTCTTCTTGCAAATATTGACCATGAGAACGTAAATCGTCTCGACATTCTCTCTAAAATAATACATCAAAAGATATCGAAAGTACGTGAATGCAAAATTACAAAACAAAGAAGTATTATCCACCACTTTTGATCATCATTCGTTCAAATTTCATGAAATTTTATTGTTTGCAGAGCAAAGATTAAAACAGCAATGATGAACAAGCCCAATATGCCCGGAGTAGAGATGTCGAAAGCGATTTTACTGGGAATCTCACCGGTGCACAAATCCTCTTTGACATGCCATATTGTGGTAAAATGAGCATGAGAACATTTTTGTTGCAGCCGAAATAAATACAAATTTATCGAAGACAATTCAGAGAAAATCTCTCAAGCATATTTACTGTTTATTTCTGATTGGGCTAGTGCCGCTGCATAAAAACATTTCTTTCAAAGATTTTAATCTGAAGAATTTCTAGAAATCGAAATGCTTTCATAGAAATGGTCAAACCACTTTGGTGCAATAGAGATGAAAAGAACTGGTTTAAATGGTACTCTTTCTTTCGATCCCCTCAGCAGAACCTTGATCTTCTTCGCAAATATCCGGAAGACTCGATTCTTTGAGCGATGCCGAAAATTTCGACTGAATTATTTGCGATTCCGCTTTTTTCGGTCGTTTCTCACTAACAGATCGTTTTTTTATTTCTTCTTCATGGTCCCATAATCCGATTGACTTAATATGCAAAAAGTGTGGTAAAAATGAATTTCATATTTTTATTTCCATAAATTTTCATCCATATAAATAATGCAAAAGTAACTCAATCAACAAAATACCTAATAAATAAAAGAATTCTTCGAAATTCTATGACTTTGAGATTTCTTAGAAGAATGCCCAAAGCATGATAAAATTCATGTTGAGATAATGTGCTAAATTTCTGCACTTACCATCAAATTATTTCTGTGGAAGAATAAAACCATAAGCAAAATAAGATCCCATGTAGCATATTTATCTCTTTTCTCAATTCCCAAAATTCTTGGAGGATAAAATGGATTCACTGACGAAGCGGTTTTATTCCATGGAAAAAAGCCAAACTGCGCTATATATTTGATTATAACCGTTGCCTAAATTCGAGAAAAAGGCCAAATTGAGAAAAGAATGAAGGAAGCGTAAAAAAGCTTTATTCAGCTGATTCAATACTTTTTTTGAATTTTCGTTTTAGGTGCTGAAAAACTTTTGCAATGTTCACATCGTATTTGCAGAAAAAGCCTGGTTATTTAAGAAAAACATATCGAATATTCTTTAATGTCGTCCACATTTTCCGCTTTGTTACGGCAATATTTTTCAAATTCTTGTCTAGTGTAGCTTATTTATTAAATTTCAATCATTTAGGAATCGGTATAAATGCTTATTGAATAAAATCAACCTGAACATAAGTGATGAGGGTAATCCAGAAATGGCGAGATGGCCTTGGTACCGTCAAAGTCCCCCATAGAAATGTCATCAAAGGCAGTGGTAGTGATAGAAGACTCGCTGAGTTCATATGATTTAGGACAATAACAAAATAACAGATCATTTCAGATTTACTAATTAGAGCATAATAAAGTGCATGAATTAATCGAATTAATCTACTCGCTTTATGCTGCAATACAATTTTTAAATTAATAATTTAGAATTTGGCTATTAGAATTACCCAAAAAGTGGTTGATCGGTAGGAATTGATTGTTGTAAAAAGTAGTACGTAATAAAGTAAAGTAAGACAATCAATAAAAAGGTGATTTTGGTCAAGGAATATTTTAAGTGAAAAAAAATGGCCATTACTTTCTCGACATTTGCCTTAGCTGGTGAAATTGAACATCGTGTTAAATCCATTTCATCACGATCTTGCTCATTTTCCATTCCTTTCATATATTCATGTAGCTGTATCATCGATTTATCAGGCTTCATCTTTGATGCAGCCGAAAAACTGTAGCGAAGAAGTGATGAGCGACGTTTTCTAATTGACTGACGAAGCTCACGTTCGCCCTCAAGAATATTTTTTATGTAGTTCTAGGATATAGGCCAAAATTCACTTGTAAAATTTTTCTTAGAAATCTTTCAGAAAATCTGTTTTCAACAATTCTTTATGTTTATTTTTTAATTTCAAATTTCAGACGAATTATTACGATGCTCTAGAGAGATAAAAAATACTTCTGAGGATAATAGTCGGTTATCCATTTAATATGAAAATCCGCAAAAATTGAGGATAAAAGAGACTTATTTTCCTGTAGATTTATTATTAAACAAGAAACAGGAAACAGGAAACCTTTATTCGCACACTCATCTCTTTATGAATTCCTTTTTCGGTGGTTAAAATATAAGCAACATAACGATAATCACGACTAAGGCGCATTAGATTTTCTATAATGGACTCCAAAACACCATCGCCAAACAGTAGTGCGAAGGTTTTTAAACTATGGAAGAATTCAAAAAGATGGTCGAGAACTGCAAAAAGATATTCAAATGAATTAAGTTTCACCTAGTTAGTCATGGGTTTTATTATTTGTTATTAAGAATTTGATTTTGATTAGATAAGAATAGGCCATGGTTCTTTTTTAAATTGCCTAGGAAAGCTGTTGACAAGGCATCAAAAAAAACTAAATTTTGACTTTAAATAATACACACATTTGCGGAGTTTTGATGTGCTTAAGGATTTTTCAGCTGTACATACTTGTTTTTGCTGGAATAAAAATAACATTAATTATATAATAAAGGCATTAAGACTTTAAAATTTATTTGAAAATTTATTTATTTTTATAACAATCAATTCCTATCGGACAACCACTTTTTGGGTAATTCTAATAGCCAAATTCCAAATTATTAATTTAAAAATTTATTTTAAATGGAGATTTCTTCAACATTTAGCGATTAGTTTTATATAAAATCTCTTATCAGCATTTTTATTCAAGTTGTGTATATAGTATTGTGTATAGCATTTTACTAACTTTAATTCATGCATAAGAATAATCGTATCTAATCTCTTGCATGAACCTCCAGTGATAATTTCGATGAAAGCTTCAATGCAAACCTCATCAGTACTCCTCAATTTGATAACAGCAAGTGCATCGATAGCTCCTTTGAATGTATTTGAAGAAGATTCTGGTGCCCCATAACGTAATTTATAATCCATAGAAAACTTTCGTTGACTATCAGATTGCACTGGAAAGTCTGAAAATAATTTCAAAGCAAGAAAAACCCCAAATCAAACCATACAGTGGTGTTGTAGAAAGCGAATAAAAAACAACCTGAATTTGCGATTTCGAATAAAACGGAGGATGGTAGTAATAAAGATCGTTTGGCGCTTAATCGAGCTCGTGGTATCTTTGAATGAGCTGACATTAAGCGTGCATCTAACGTTTCTGCAATGGATTTAGTTAATATTTGTGAATAATTAATAAATTTCTTAATTTTGAATAAATTTTTTCCCGTGGATTTAAAGCAAATGATTGGAAAATTTCATTTCAAAATTGAAAAATTACGTTTATGAGTGATTGCACTTTCATCGAAAGTTTGCTCATCAAAATCAGCTTTTGGACGACGTTCCTTATTACGCAAAATCGCTTTCCGAATCGCCTATAAAAATCATATCAAAATTTGCCAAAATATTTTAAGTTTAAATTTTTTAGATTTGATTAGAAGGATCAATTTATTCTTAATTAAAAATACGTTATGATCAGCGATTCCAAAAGCGTCTTCCATTTCTTGTTCCATTTTTGCATGAGTCGCTTTAATGACCTCTGACTCTTTTAACGCCTCTTTTATGGCTCCTTTCTTGAAAGCATAATTTAATAATTGTAGTGGACCAAAGCCTTTTATGCCACCCTCATTTTCCCTTATTTTTGAATCCACAGAATTTTCAACAGAGTTGGCCCTAAATAATAAAATAAAAAATATGAGGATTTTTTTGCTTCCCATCTCTCATTTTTTTTAGGAATGAAGCGAAAAAAATGAGGACTTAACCAATTTTCAGCAACTTCACGAGCATCCTCTTCGATTCCTGATAAGCTTAAACAACGTTTACGGTTTTTCAGGATGAAGTCTGCTCTTCGGCTTTCTGCATTATCGTTTATTGTCCTCAAAATTGTTCCCTCAATATCAAATATGAAAATCTACTTATTGAATCGGATTCTATTCGCTTAAAGAACAACGTTGCAAAAGAATTCTAACCTTTTGTGTAGTATATTTTCTCTATTTTTTAAGAGTTCTCACCATTACTGGTTAGACTTGCTCCGCTGGCTTATCGCATTAGACAAATTTGCCAGGGAATCACTTGGCGATAGAAGTATAGGCGAGTCGCCAGCATCACCCGAATTTCTGGGCAGATTTGCTTCTGCGGGAAATAGAACCTCAGCATCGGCGCTCCGAACTGAGCAACAACCCACTGAGCCATTCTATACCCCGCTTTCCATATTTACTTGGCCCGATTTCGTAAAAATTTTAGATAAGCTAGAAATCGTTTCAAAAACTTAAGAGTTTGGCCAGCATCAATTTTCATTCAATTGAACTAATCTTACTGAACTGAACTACATCATTTTGATCGTAAAAATTTAAATAGCCGTTTAGATTTAAATACCCATACGTTTTGGAAGAAACTTCCGTTGAAATTTTTGTATTTGGCGCAATTGAAATATTTTGCAAAGAGGAATCACTTGGACCAAACGTTTCCTTTGAATCCCAGGTCTTAATTGAAACTGATGAATCGAAGTAAAATGGCATTAAGTGAGCGAAATTTTGGAAATAAATTAATATATTAATTTTTGCTATTATTGTGATAAACATATTGTCAGGAATAAACCTCTTCATGATCATTCGAATAGATAACTGGCAAATTAATATCGGAGCCTGAAAAAGTAAAATAAGTAAAAAGTTCCTATAAGACCAGGACCAGTCGATGATATTTTTGAATTAATCAATTAAATTTTCTTCTTTTAGCTATATTCCTGTTTTCACTTGATCGATTGAGCACGCTAACTTAATTAATTAAAAGTGTTCAATTAATTTCTGGATAGCACGCTGAGGAAATATTTTGGTGAAATATGAATTTACCTGTGATATGCTTAGTCCGAATGTTTTCCATCTTTTCTCTGACGATAATCAAAGCTTCTCGTTCGCTGCGCAAAGCTTCTTCAGTTTCTTTCTTGGTGATGTTTTCGATTATTTCCGCTCCTCTGAAAAGAAATAAATAAAAATAAAAATAAAGAAAAATATATAACTATAAAAAAGCAGGGCAGAACATAGTTTCTGCATATTTCTGCATATTGCGAAAAATCATTCCTCAAGGAATCCAAAATTTAAACGTACAAAATGGGACCTCGAAGAAAAAAATTTTTGAGCTTTTATTTCAGCGACGACATGTTCGAAATATTTACTACTGAATATTCGTCGCTGTATAAGCAAAAATGTGAAACAGATTCCATCATAATAAATACCAGCTTCACGATGGGGAACGTTGCATTCAGCGAGAATCGACGGAACCAGTACTGCAAATTTTTTGATGAGTGGAGCAGTCAGTGTAAAACAGAATAAGCCTAAGCCTATATAAGGAATCAGAATTGCAGATTTAAAGATAACAAGAGAGAATAAAAAGCGTTGGATGTTCAACAGTATTTTCTACAGTGCTCCATCTTTTCTTCGTAAATAAAATTTTTTAGAAGTTTAAAAAAAAGGATACTGAATAATACTGACACAATGAATGATTCATAAAAACTGGAACAAGGAAGTGATAGTTATAGAGAGAAAGAAGTTTTACTTTTTTCTGGCATGATTCCGGTCTTCAAGCATGCTATTCCGAGCAACTGCAATACCCAGCAATAATTTTTATACATCTGACTCATATAAACACAGCCAACTACTTGAAGTGATATCTTGAAAAGTATGACGGAAGCATTATAGAGAATTAATTTGTTCAATCTGAAAATCGAGGCTTTTTAACTGCAGACGAACTCTGATAAGCATTAAAACTTTCACTCTGGTTTAAAATGAAAAAACAACATCGGATTGCTTGGGTCGTGTATGGGCTACATGGACAATAAAATGGGGGAGTAAATTTAATTTTTTCTCCTCTGGTTTGGTCCCTTCCGCTGGTCGTCAAATAAAAACCTCATTTAGGAGGTGGGAAAAAGATGGGAGATAGAACAGATTTTCAGTGCCACTTATACTTTAATTTATACTTTAATATATACTTTAATATAATTTATACTTTACTTATACTTTAATTTAATTTCAGTAATAGGTTTCTCACCAGTGGTCAAAGATCCAGTCTATGATTTTTGGCATACCACGTTATTCAAAATTTTAAGTATAGAAACTATTATAAAAGCCAAATTTTTATCTGATGATTTTATTGCTCACAATTTCTTCAGTATCTCTACGGCTGATATTCTTAAAACTCCCATTATCAAATCAGTGGAAAGATACTATCGCAAAAAGAAATTACTTTAGGTATTTCGTTACTATTAACTTATATTCATCAAGAATGCTTATGGAACTTGCGTCTATCAATTGTCGTCTAGTATTCATTTTAAATATATAGTATAACTAATGGTTTTAATTTCATCAGCTACAATTTTGTAAACCTTAAAAAATAAGCAAGACAAAAACAGAACAAAAAAACTGCTTACTGAGCGAGAGCGAAACGAATTGGTCGAAGAAAAATTGAATTCCCAACCCAAAGAAAGAAGAAACAACCGATGACATAACCTAATGCGAAAAAAGTCACTCTTGTCGTACCAGCAATGAAAATAACACCAAGCGTTATCCAGTAGAAATGCATGAACAAAATCCGTTTCAATAGATTTAATGCTGAATCTCTTAAAGAAAAATTCTCATTTTTCATCTCAGCAATAGAAAGAATTTCGCGGAATGAACATTTACTGAATTTTCTAAAAAAATACAACCACGAAGATTGCAAAAGTAATCCGAAGCAGATTTATGATAAATAATAAAAGGAAAGAGTTAAACAAATGTTGTAATAAAAAATGAGGTAATCTGATTTCATTTAATTGAAAATAAAAGAAGAAGGTGAAAAAAAACGGAAAAGAAAATATTACTCATTTGCTATGAAATCAGGCACATGTATTTCCTTCTTATGGCCTAAATATAGTTCATGTGAAAAGCGTTTTCGAATTTGTTCCCTCTCATGCTTCTCTGTTTCAAACACACAAAATTGGCAACTGATGAACAAAAGTAAGAAAAAATCGGCTGAAAAAATTAAAGATGTGAGATGAGATTTGTTTTTTTTTATTTGAAGTTTACCATGGTTAAATTTATCATTAATCTTATAAACTGGTGTTGACAAGAGTTGCTTCGTGTAATATTTTGCATTTGAATTTAAAAGAATTTCTTTTTTGATGTAATATACTTACCAACGAAAGTTTTATAGTGAAAACAAATATCCTACAAAAAGAGGGTTTACTTTTCTAAATGAGAATTTTATACTTGAGATGCTAAAAACTAACCATAAAGTTTAACAGGATTGGGCTGAATAAAGAAATCTGGCAAAAATAGCCATTCGATCATATTTATGTCCCAGTTACTCCAAGGATAAGCTATAATTTGGAAATTTACATCTGAGCAATTCATATTTTACCAATTGCTCCAAAATGATTGAAATTTTTAGCCTACAATCTCGGCCTAAGGATTTTAGCTAATTTTATGAATAAAATTTTGGAAAATCTAAAAAAAAATTAAAGATGGAAAAATAAGTGACAAAGATCCGAGCGATTTGTGCTCATCACGAAAATTAGAATGTCCGCTATCTTATCCCGAACAGTACCGCTAGAAATAAGAGCAACAACGCACCGACGCAGAACATTTTTGGCATTCCAACGCATATTAAATATTGCCATACGAAAAGAATAGCTATCGAAAGTGTCATGTATGGCCACAGATGACAAAGTAATGAGCGATTTTTAATGAGTAACACGGATATGAGGAGAACTAATAACGCATAATATACCGATATCGCATCACAACGAACGCCAATTGTTATAACTGCTGTGACTAGACAGATCTGAAATTCTCCAATATCTTTTGACAATTTTTAACTCTTTTCAGAATCAACAGTATTTAATATTTGTTTTGAGCAGTCAAAAATAAAAATTTTCGACAAAAAAAATAGCGCTAACCTCACAACCGAAATGAAAAAAAGCAAAGTTGGCGAAATATTTTAAACAATTCAGGACATTCGTATCAGCGTCCTTACGAGAAATGTTGCTAAATAAAACACCAATTGTGCAATCTATCTCTCCATAAATATATCGATGTAATGAGCGTCGAATGTGGACGATTGAACGGAACGCCATCAATAACGCCAACAATATATAAATCTGTATTAATTTTGTAAAATAAATATACTCTCTAATTTTTGCCTTGAAACTACTCATTATTTGGCTATTTAGACATTTAGCAAAATCCTTCATTTATTAAAAAGATAAACTGCACCATTCGAGCACCATAAAGATCTTTAAAAATGCCTAAAATTTTGTTATTCACGGAAATTGGGAAATTTTGTATGAGTAACTAGTGTCCCGCGTTTCTGCTTAGACTAACTGTGTTAGAAATTTTCAGAAAGTCAGAAATTTTCTTTACTTAGCGGCAGAAATACAGAGAGAAGCAGGTTGCAAGATTTTCATATGGATTTTTAATGTGAGTTTTGCTTTTGTCGAGGACCCTGAAGAGCCCTTCCCTCGGCAGTTTAAACCACTGTCTACATGCCTGTCGTGCTCCTAATTTTTTTCTAAATTTCTGTAACGTGAACTTACTAAACAGTGACGCGCTAATGAATCTATTTTGCTTAATCCAATCCATTCCAAGCTTGATATCGATTCTTTAACATCATGCGTATTCTTCTCGACGGCAGATGTGTTCTTAAATCGCTATGAAATCATTTTTATTTTGTAAAAATAAAATCAGTTGTTGGCTTAATATATAATATTACCAGCTGATTAACAAATAATTATTCGCACCATTTTTTAATTATTTTTTGGAATGGATAATTCATTTTTAAAAAGTATAATATTAAACGAAAGGTGCACCGTTGAAATATGAATTGTGTATCATTGCTACTGCTGGTAAATTTTCACTTAATAATTAAATAGTAATAATTTCAAAATCCAGATAGTAAGCAATAGCCAAATTTAAGAGCCAAATTTCTTTAAATTTGGTACCTTGCAAACAATAAAAAATTGGTTATCCTTGATAAATTCCATCTGATAAACCATTTTAACAATTACAATAATAGTCGTCCAAATTCCGATTAAAATATTCATTCTTTTACTGTGGTGTCTTCTTGGCAGTGTCCAAGCAATATAAATAATATAGGGGATATGAAGAGCACAAACCTTGAAATTTACGAAATCATTTGTGGTGGCAAAGCTTTCATTCAGCGACAACGAACCAACACTTTAAAATTAAAATTAACTTTGAAATTTGATGAAAAACCTCGTGAAGCGATATTAAAAGTATGGCAAAGGCGACAACTTTGTCAACATGGATTTCGAGGACCCTCCAAAAAAATTCACGCATTGAACTTTTAAAGCAAAGGAAACTGGAACCAATCTGCTTCAAAAATGCTTGGCTACCGAAATTACTTTTAATAAGGCTATGCTCTTGCTCTTGAATACTACCACCGTTCCATTTATTGTTTCTAAAAATCTCGATTAAATAATTATTGCTATTCATTATTGCCACTTTTTTCATTCGTTATACTTTTTATATTCATTTAAAACCAGTAAAAGTTTTATCTTTTATAATTTACCATTTGCTATTCTAAAACAACTTTGTTTAAAAAGAATATTCACAAATATGTATAAATAGGGTAATAGTAACTTACGATGCCGTTTCGTTAAAGTAATCGTTTCGCATAGCACTTGCTGCAGGAAGACTTAAATTCAATTTTTCAAATACAGATAGCAATCCTGATTTGGAATGGTAATATGCCTGGAATATCACGGCAATTTTTTTTTTTGATACTTGGCATCAGAAATTTGAAATTTGAAATTTAAACAGAAATGAACAAAGTTCATAAAAAATAAAATAAAAATAAAATCATCTTAAAAAAAATAAAATCATCTTAACCCATCATCCATGCATAAATGAATTAAGTCCTAATTTTTCCTAGTTTTAATGCAGGATTTGCAACTTTTTTGTATTATAGGTCCCATATAAGGAGTAAAATTGTTCAGTGCAGTTCAGTGCAAATCCACTGTTTAAAATCCATTAAGCACAAGTTAACATAAGTTTTGCAAATAAAACATAATTCTAAACAAAAAAACCAGAGTTTTAAGTAAATTTAAGTAATGACAAAAAAGGTGTTGTCGAGATTAACATTCCTCTCACACCTATTTTCAGTCGTTGTATAATTATTAATACATCGTCCCTATTTGATGGAAAAATGTTGATGATTATATCCGTCAATAATGTTCTAATTTATGACTTCATGCCGCAAATTATATTATATAACATATTTTCCAAATGATAGTGTGTAAACCTTGTTGGGTACAACTTTAATTAAAATTCTTCATATCTTTAACTTCATATCTTGAAAAAAAAAACTTAGAAATGAGATCACCATCAGCTAATAAGGTGAAAAAATTAATTTAACTAAAAATAATCGATTTTTAATATTATTTATTCCTTTACAACTTTATTAAAAACTCTTGGTTCCCCTTGGTTAAGTTCGTTAATTTTTAAAGGAAAGCTATAAATGGCAATATATACCTTCTCCCACTTTTCTGTTTGTTCGATTAGGAATGGATGAAAGAAATTGACTTGTATTAAAGCAAAAACAAGAAAAATAATTGGTGACAATAGTCGCAGAAACAGCTCACCGTTTGAAAATTGTTCTAAACCAAAAGATCGCAATCTGAATAGAAGTCACATTCAGGCATTTATTAAACTACGCTTTATTTACGTTATTTATATTGATCTTTTTAACTTTTTATACTTTAGGAATGGTATCTACTGTTGACTTACAAGTGACTTACAAATCTTCAGAAAATCCAAAATATTTTTGATACAATTGAGGCAATTTATAGAACTGATAAGTGTAAATGGCTGATACGACAAACATGGAAAATCCGATCATAAGTAGCCAAAATGGATACAAAGTGCGTCTCCAAAGGGGAATTGATGTCTAAACAAATTCGTATTAGTACTGATTGCAAAATCCATTTGGCATCAAATTTTTAAATTTTTTAAAATTTATTCTACTTATGTGAATTCTAATGATTTTAACAGAAGTAATTTTATCATAATTTATCGTTATTTATATTTCATTTTTATTCATCATAATTGTTGTTTAAAATTTTTGTTGTTACAAAGCAACGATAAAAAAAATAAAAGATTGCCTGAAAACAAATGACGAAACTTAAGAAGAAAATCATGTAGATGATTCGATAAGAAACAACTGGATTTTGCAGAGAAATAATAAGTAAAAAACATAAATTAAATATTGCCCAAAATCTTTCCATCAATTTTAATAACCTTGGCATTAGTGCATCGATCCACTGATGTTGAACTTTTTCTATCATAAGTAAAATTAGTAAACATAAAAATTGAAAGAATTCTATTTCTAGGAAAGCTGAATCAAATAAATGATAAGACTTATTTTATGGAACATTTATGGAATATTAAGTTTATTAGAAAAGAATGTATAATAAAAATTAAAACTCATTACTAAAAAATTCTTGAGAATTTAATATTCATTTAATATTCATTTAGAAGAAAAAGGTAAATACCACTGCCTTCGATTCTCATTATTGTATCCTTGCCAATTTCCAACCATCGTTTAACAGTTGTCCAAAAAATGAATGTGAAAATAAATTTGAGAAGGATTCGTCTCCAAGGAGGTGATTCATAGCATTTTTCAAAACCTATCTGGAACGGATATAGTTACTCATTTCTTAAATTAAGCCATTTTGAAAGTCTGGCCTGAAGATATGATATGAGATAAAGAACCATTAAAAGTAATTTACAATTAGCAAAATAAAGGAAAGCAACCAATTCGTATCAGACCAAATCACTAATCCATCACCTCATTTTTAAAACATTCAGCAACAAACTTGTCTCAAGAAAGTCGGGTTATTGTCAGGAAGTTCACTTTGAGATAGATCCATGCAGTAGACATATTGAATGAACACCAGCAACTAAAGCATTCTATCAAAAAGAGCAAAATTTTTTGAAATTAGATTTTAAACCAATTTCGTAAATTAGAATATTCATTTGATCAAATGGGACAAAAAATGGGACCTGTCCATATGTAGCCAAATAAGGAGAAATTCTTAAACAGAATTGTTGCGAATGTGGATATATCCAAACAACACATGAAGTAACTAATAACACAAAAGTCAGCCAACTGTGGTATAAGAGACTCCAAGCCTGAATAGCAATTAACTCAATGTTTTTGAGTCATCTTTAAAATAAAAATTATGCTTTTTTGAGCTGAAGCCAAAAATTTTCTTTTGGAACCTCCTGAATGGAACTTTTTCAAAGCTTCTTGACAACGATTGATTCTTTTTTTAATAACAATCTCCATTTCTGTTTTGACTGGCTTAGTTACTAGGGGTTACCTTTATCATGTGGTCACTTAGAAATGATGTCCCCACCGTCATCTAGATTTTATTTACATGTCCACTTTCATCGAGGGATAATGACCTAGCTCACTTCCTTCACCCAAAGAAATGTGCTACTAGCTAACCACCCTATTCCTGTATAATCGATAATTTAATAAGTAATATTATATAGGTCTTTGGAAAACTATATAAATTGACAGTAACGCCCACCCATCCTCAAAGGAATCTAAATTAAACGAAAACGCTTACCATCATAATAAATAGTGTAATGATATAATTTTTTGATGAAACCATATTCAGTGCTTTTTCAGCCAGATTTTTAAAATTTTCCTGAAAGAAACTTCGTAAAATTCGGAATATTGTTGTCTCTTTTTATTTGTTTATTTATTTATAATAAATAATAAATAATCAAAGCCTTAAATATCCAGAAATACCCTCCTTCTTCTAACACCTCAATCATTGCTGATTTGGTAATCATTAGAGACTAGGATAAGATGTTTTTAATGCAAGGCAAGAAAAAGAACGAGCAAAAAAAAAGAACGAACCAAGAGATTTTTATATTTTGGGGCATCCATCTCTGGTCCTATATAAATCACCAGTCGATGGCCAGCTTCAATATCCATTGTATTTGTGACCTCATTGTTCTAAATGAATTTTTTTCTTAGTAAAATAATCCAATAATCCATTAAAGGAGGAAAAAAAATAAGAAATCGTTTTGAAATTATTTTCGACAGTACAGGCGATTCTTAATATGGAACCTTTCAGTAAAAGCATAGGTTTAAAGCAAATTGCAAGAAAGTTAATTCTTAATAATACTTTTCAATAATTCGTCAATGAAATAATATGAATAAATTTTAATAAAACTGGTCTAACTTGATTTAAAATTTTAGGATAGGATAAACCTTAAGCAATCGTAACTGTATTATAGCAATAAAATGTAATATGTAGATAATAAAAGGTGATAGTAGTTTCGATGATAGCCAGAAATCGGTGGTTGTTTGTGGCTGCAGTGAAATGGGATCGCATGGATAAAAATATAAATGCACTAGACCAAGCAACCTTCAACCATAATTCAACAGTTATTTAATTGAACAATTTAAATGAACAATTAAATTTAAAGCCTAACTAGAAATGAACTAGCGATAATAAGCGATAAGCGTGCATCATTCCTGATTAGGCTAGCTCTGCTAGTTGCTAGTACGGTCAGAAATTTTTGCTAGCGAATCAATTGGCGATAAAACTATCGCCAGCGCCAAATAGTGTATATAAACTGGAACCAAAAAAGCTAATTTCTCGTCGATTCCATTTACTTTGTCATGACTAATTTATCTATCAGCCAATCAGTTTCAACCATCTTTTAAATGAAGGTATTAAATAAAATATTAAATAAATTGTAACCTTGCAGATAAAGATGATGGATGTAAGAACAAACGAAAAGTTGGAAACTGATAAATATAGAGCACAACAAGATGAAATGCACTGTAAATTATAATTAACCGCCGGATAATTGTGAAAAAGTCATCATTTGGAGCCTTATTGAAGGCCCAGCATATTATCAAATAATTTGAGAGCAGAAAGTAAGCCAATGAAAGCTGAAAATATAAATAAATCATGAAATTAATAAATTATGAGATCCAATGATATCTAGAATCAGAAATTAATCAGCGTCGATTCCACCATTAATAGCTGGTACCCATTGATGAATAAGGAATTACTGAGTCTACTTTATCTAGTTTATATCAAAATGGTGGTCAAACAATTTTAGCAAATGGATTAGAAAATGGATTAAAATTTAGGACAATATTAAGAAGTAAGTTATAAGAAAGGCCATAAACTATTGAAATATAGGTTTTCTAAAAAATATTGTCGTTTTTCTGAGACGAATTTTTAATGGAATAATTTCTATAAAGAGAATAAGCAAAATCATTATATAGAAATGTTATATTATATGCTGTATTACGTGCTATATTGCTTTATTCGATAGAGTTTAATGAAAATTTGGCATGCGGTCTATTAATGGGGCGTGAAATGCTGAGAAATAATTGTGAATGCTTTATTTCATTAAATGATGAAACGACAAAAAGTGGCATAAATGGAATATATCCGAAAATGAGAAAGCATCAAAAGTGGTTTTGAAATTAAGGAGTAGTGGTTTCAATTTACGGTATACCCAAAGTTCTGGTAGACTTCAAAAGTTAATAAAAATTTTCAGCGCTTCTAGGATAAAGCTGATCCAAAACACTGAATGAAGCATCAAAAAATAGATTTACAGGTGAGCATCATCTTTAAGGAAGTCTAAGCCTGTTAATATTTGGCTTCCACATCAACTTACCGAACAGCACATATTAATAAATGGTCATCAGGTCAATAATGGTCAATAAATGGTCATGGTTATATACTTGGCTCCTTTCTAGATAAGAAAAAGAAGGCAGAATTGTAACTGGTTATGAAATGGTACTTCAAGATAACGCTGATCGTTAATGCCAATGGCAAGCAACGATAATTGCTAAATCTGACAATCACAGCAGAAAAGTACTCTATTTGGAATAAATACAGCCTCTAACGTTCTTTTTCTTCTAATAGCCGCACAGCTGCTTCGGATCGCTGCACGACAACGAAAAGGCGTTTCCAACGCTTCTTATTCGATGCCAGTACTGAAAGTAACTGAAACCACTCTTTCTTCCATCATCCAAGCCCGTATATGATTGGATCGCCTATGCATTCAAATCTTCCTTGATAGTATCGTTCTCAGTTGTTTCGCAACTACAGTCGTCCGTACGGGTCTAAATGTCCAAAATGTGAATGAGCCGTCGCGGTTCAATTTAAATTTAACTTCATCATCCAATGAGATTTTTGTTGATCATAATGCGATTTCCATATTTATCTCGAATTATTTCACGGATCATTTCACTAACTATTTCTTGAGCTTCGATTGCCTTGCAAAGTGGACAGAAAAGTTGCAACCCTACGGAGCTAACAGTAGCTAGTAGCTCTTCTGGGGCAACATGCGGGTTCTGGTGCCGTGACCAGGATAGCTGGATAGTTTCGTTTGAGATTCAGCTTGTGACTCGTACGCCTAGAATGGATTTAGCTGACGTCGGGAGGCAGAACGTGGTCTTATTTATAGACCTTTGCAATTCGCGATATGTGTAGTTATCTAATATGCAATTTATCCCATGGCGAGATCCATGTAACAAGTTGTCTTCTGCAATATTGAAAACATTAGTGACAAAAAATCTCTTTCAGTGTAGTGGAAAAAATATTTTCCTTTGGCATTTTGGCAAAAAATTTTCATTTTCACCAGGTCACAATACAATAATTGCTGGCCAAACAAGATAGTGAAGCTCATATGCGTATTCCAACTTTCCGTGATTATAATTAAGTAAAGCTCAAGTGCATATTCAATCTTTCGTGGTCTTAAGTCTTAAGTCTTAAGTAGTCTTAATTAAGTCTTTTTTTCGGGTTAGAAATTGTTAGCAGGTTCAGCTTGGCTTAGAATCTATCTTTATCTAGATCATTCGCACAATTCTTAGGCTGACCGCGGTGTTGCAAAACTTACCTTTAAAGAGAACGCAGGCCAGCTGTTCAAGGTTCCATACAATTATAGCTACCGTTCCATGATCATCGCGACACTATTTCTGAGTTATCCGAACTCTTGTGAGCAACTCAATCATTTTCGAAAACACATCGTGGCAAATGATGGCAAGATTTCAAAAAAATAGGCCAAAAAATCAAAGAACTTGGAGAAAGTTCTACCTATTCACCATATAGTCCTGATCTTTCTCTTTCTTATTACCATTTGTACAATCTCTGTAACATTATTTTGCTGAAAATATCATTTGAGGATTTGAAAAACGGCCTTGAAGAATATTTCGAATACAGATACGCAAACTTTTAAAAATTGTATTCGTGTATTTTTCTAGATGCGAAAGAATTGCATAAAACGATGGTGAATAAATAACTAATAATATTATTCTTCTTCTAACAGCTCTCACCATTACTGGTTAGGCTGGCTCAAATGGCTACAAGGGTATGACGTTTCCAAACGGCGCGGTCATGATGCCATTGTCGACAGTAATAGAAGCCATTCCTTTTTCTATCTTCTAAGTCCATATTTCTGGTCCACCTATACGTTCAAAATTTCTTTTGACTGTGTCAGTCCAGGTCTTGATTGGCCCTCCTCATTTTTGATATCAACCATCACAAGTAACGAAATTTTAACTCTACTCTTGTGGTAGAAGACAAAGGACGCTGGCGCAGGCGACACTGTAATGGTATACTATTAATGCAAGTGGTATATAAGCGAAGATGGATACAATCGTGTTAAATTTTATCCGCTCGGCGAGCTCTTAAAATGTACCTTAGACATGAGTTGATAAAGACAGACAACCTCTCCACTTTCACTGACCATGTCAAGATCGAGCGAATCGCGGTTACAGAGATACGGACTTTGGTTTTTATGGTAATTTCGCGACGGCTCCACAATGGTTTCGTCAATCGGAAGAACTCATTTCCCGTTATCCGTGTTGTAATTTCGTCATTTGCCTGGTCATTCTGTATTAGAGAGGATCCAAGATATTTATTTTTAATTTATATTATATAGCTTTTTTCAGATATTTCAATTCAAATTTTCGATGAAAATACGACAATATTTTTGAGAAAATCTTAAATTGACGAATAGTTCTTACAGCTGAAGGATGAATAGCTCCAGCGATAGCTAGACCTATGCATAAAACGATATTATTTGCGTTATATATGAATTTATTGAAATGATTATGCAGCTTTGGATGATTGACTTCATCACATTTCTCCTCTGGTTCCTGGAATAATTTTGAAGCAATTACGAAATTTTCTCGTCATTCTCAAATGTATATACGATTCAATATATACTTATATACTTGAACATGGAATAAAAGACCAAAGATTCTAGAAATTATCATTGAGGAATTCAGACTAAGCCAAATAAGAAAATGAAAAAAGCATACTTGATCTGAGCTGAATTTTGCAGAATTCTTCTCATCTATCTTTGCATCGAATGCAGCTATCCTAAAAAATAAGTCGTTAAGTTTAAATTACTTCAATTACTAAGCAATTCATTGAAAATAAAATAAATGAATAAAAAATTTAAATACTTGACAAGAAAAAATATTCCTGCGATAAATGCTATGAATTCAGGAGCAAGCATTTTCATTGCATAATGCAAATCTTGTAATGACATTCTCTCCAAGCCGATTTCTTGTAAATAAATCATGATAGCGCTACCTAAATAAATGAACGAAAGAATTCTATAGGCAATAATTCAGAACATTCGATAAGAAGAGTTTGAATCATTTGAACATATTAAAAATGACTTTTCTTTAAGCAAAATTTTTTCAGCAAAAATTTCTTTAATTATGTGAAGGAAAGGAAATAATTTTAATCTTTTTGAATTCGATAATCTATCACAACAAGAAACTTCGAAGGACGATATTTTGCATGGGAAATGATACCGAGTCTTACGCGTATTTTTTTCAATACCTAAGAGTAACCACGCAAATATAAGCAGCCAAGTCTAGCATTAATATTTGTATTATAGGGAATAATATTTTGATATTATAATTTTTTACAACTTTTAGTTAAATATAGAATTGCACCAATTACGCCGGTGCTTCCGATAGGAGTATACCATTAAAAATTTAGATGGTACTGTATGAACTCATTTATATTTCGCATGTATAGGGAAGTAAACTTTTAACAAAAATTTCTAACCAAACAAACAACCAGTTGAGGAAGCTATATCAGAAATGGTGCGCTAACCACTTATTTATATTTTTCGACTGAAATTAGTGCTGTTATTAACAAGGCTTGAAAATGTAGTAAGTTAGTTCTTTTGCTACTTATTAAAATTTTAACGTTCTAAAAGAAAGAATTTCAAAATAAAATCCCAAAAAATAAAGTTCCAAAATAAAACTCTTAAAGACTGACGTCCTATGATTTGGAAGTTACTGTATTACTGTATAAATTTTGTATTGTAATTTTTCTTTTTTTAATATTAATATTAATTTTGATATTAATATAGATTCATTAAATTATTCTGCCAACTTTCTTTACAAAAAACACTTTAAAATCTTTCGCAAATCAATGATAGTTTAATGATTGAAAAAACAGAAATTATAAATTCAGTACTCAAAATTGATTCACAGGATATTTACATCGCATTGCCTAAACTTAAACTGACGAAAACTATTGAATTCGTTAATATTCTGCAAATTCTCTATGAATAATACGCAGTATTTCTGCACTGCTACAGTTTCTCTGTATTCTCTGTATTAGCGCTACCTAAATAAATGAACGAAAGAATTCTATAGGCAATAATTCAGAACATTCGATAAGAAGAGTTTGAATCATTTGAACATATTAAAAATGACTTTTCTTTAAGCAAAATTTTTTCAGCAAAAATTTCTTTAATTATGTGAAGGAAAGGAAATAATTTTTTCCGTTATCCATAGAATAGAATTACTATATAATTCTTATATTTATACTGTATTTTTTAATATTAATATTAATTTTAATATTAATTGCAAAATGTAAATAATATCATCTCTTATTTTCTCTTATTTTTCTTATTTTTAAGAATCACTTCCACTAGCAGAAACCACATTTCAAGCTGAGGAGCGCTGGAACAAGGAAACTAAAGGACTTTAATAACCTTACTAAAATTTTATTATTGCTAGAACTATCAAAGAATACTCGTCCATTTGAAGTACTGTTTCTAGAAGTCAATTAAATGCGCCTTATTATGCACTTTGAAGAAGGTAAGCTGGATATCAGACGAAGCGGTACAGCTGTCTGATCACATGTCCAGAGTGTGCGTTTTTGAAGATTCTAGCTATCATCAGCTTCGTTGACTCTTCGTTGAGATGAGACAGAAATCGACAATGGAATGATGTGGCTTTTAATATGAGGATGGCAGCTCGAGTGGATGGTCATCGGAAATTATTCCACCTATTTTGCAAAGCAACCATAGAACGAGAAATGGTTAATGAAGTGATTAAAGGTAAGAATGGAAATCCTATAAAGATTGGGAAAGAATCCTATTAAGATTGGCAATTCATTCAACGGAGAGAATTCTTCGAATCTAAACTCAAATACGATTCAAGATCCCGGATATTATTAGTAGAACTGTGTGATTACGAATCTGAGTATGAGATAATTTCATTAATTTATAAGCTTAATTCTAACAAAATTCCCGGAGAAAATGATCTGCGAACTGGTTCCTTCAATTGATATTCAGCGTTCTTCACAACAAATCTGCAGAAAATAATTCGTTGATGTGGGAGAAAGGGCAAATGCCATGTGATTGGAATAAGGCAATTCCGCTATCTTAATTCCTAAAGAAAGTGTTAGGACGCATCGCAACTATCGAGGAATCGGAATGCTAAATGATTTCTGAGATTAAGAATATCGTTATTAAGGATCGTATGACTTAGGCCATGTTCTGCGTTGCTCTCCGCAGGAATTTTAGCAAATCTCACCTACCTGTTGAAGCCTGTGATGGATAGCGTCAGAAGTGTGTAGGATCAATCAAGACCTTGGGTAGATACGGTCAAGAGAGACTTTGAACTTAGAGACCGCCCAATGTTATACGGTGGGAAATGGAGTGGCTATAGTTGTTTGCAGAATTAGCATCGGCTTGGAGGCTTAGAAGAATTTTGCCTTAGTTGCCAGTAAAGCGAGCTAAGCCAGTAATAGTGCGGACTTCTGGAAGAAGAAGGTTATTGCCAAGTTCCATTTCGGAATTGCTTGCTGAACTTCTCTTATGTGATTATCAGATTACGATTATCTAATAGGCGAGCTGTATGAATCAATAATTATTTATTTATCAGACTTATTACTCATGAGGTCAGAAGTGCAAGATATTTATATTTATATAGAAGTGCAAGATATATCAAGATATTTATAATGGTCCTTATTCTTTGTGATGCATAATAGCGATGTCACTAAAACTGAATTTCACTATCTATATGCTGTTAAAATTTTTCACTAACAACATAGATCGGATAATTTATCATCACCACGAAAGATCTTCACTGAATTTCTAAATTGAAATTAGTATATGTGATATGTAAAAAAGTATATGTAGTTTTTATGGTGCATTAAGGAAATCAAATGAGGATAAGTGGCATTAAGCTCGACTGATACAGTCAGCAAACATTTTGAACGTATAGGTGGACCAGCATATGGATTTAGACAATGGAAAAAAGAGTGGCTCCTATTATTGCCTTCGATGGCATCGATCGAGCAGCTTGGAAACTTCATACCTTTGTAACCAGTGTAACCACTCTTTTTTTAAACAAAAACTAACACGTAAAGTTATTATCCTATCGCAAATTTGACAGCAAAGAGATTAAACAGGCTGAAATTAATAAAGCTCATTTGTTGATTAAAATTATGACTTTTTTGTTTCTCAGTTATTGGAATTAATCATCTATCTAATAATGGGATTTATGATTATCAATTGATCATCAATTATCGCTTCGTTTTGGCATCTCAAATGATGTTTTTTTTTTTTAAATTTCTAAAATTTTTCTTTTTTTTCAACCAGTCACATCAAAAATACGGGTGGCTGCTGGGGATCCAATTGTAACTCTCTCCCCAAGTAACTCTATAATAAAAGGATCAGATGCTCTTCACACGGAATTCGCGTCCTCCGACGCGCATGTTGTTCCCAGCCTGGTGGTGCCTGCGATAAGTAAACAATTCGGGCGTAAACCGATCCCAAAGCTCATAAATAAAATATGCTCGCAAGCCAAGAAAGTTGCTCGAAACTTATCAAGGGGAACGGCTTTCTGTGCGCACAGATGTTAGCGTGGAACGTCAAAATGCTTATGGAAGTCGCAAGCTAAGCGATCATTGTCTACACTCTTTCTAAATATCGTATGAATATTACCTGATTATCGGGGCCCTTTTTCCATACCTCGGGTCTCGAGTAGCTATTAATTCTGGCTCAGAGCAGAGGCATTGACTATCACCGTGGTGCTTCAGATAATTCGGGGTAAAATGGTGTAGCGACTGCCATGTCTTAGAAGGCCCAATTTGCTTTGATTGAGCGGATACCGGTAAACGACCGTATGGCTTATGTTCATTTTAAAGGTAAGTTCTACAATATCTCGGTCATCAGTGTCTATGCTCCAAATTCGTTGGCAGATAACCCCTGATAAAGATAAGCTTCTATGCGGAACTTCAGTCGCTAACAAAATCTCTACATGACAAGGTCATAATCGGGGGAGACTAGAATGCACTCATGGGTCATAATATCGCTGCGATGACCTCGACAATCGGCAAATATGGCATAGGAGACCGGTGTGCCAATGAAGAACGTCTTCATTATGCCGAAGAGCATGAACTTTTTGTTACTAATACTTGCTTCCTGCATGTAGAAAATATCAGTCACGTGGAACTCCCCGAACAATCAACTCTTCAACCAGATTGATTATATCTTAGTCAGCCATTGGAAGAATTCCAAGTGACGTGCTAGATGGTCATTCTTATCACGACTCTGAAATGAACAATTTTCATGGATCTGACCATATTGTCAAGACCCGCATAAAACTGATAGCTCGCAGAAAACAACATCCTCCCAAGATCCTTAAACTATCTCAAACTAAAAAATTCGGGAACAGTGAGCGCATTTCAAATTGAATTATTGAAGCATCTCAGTCATACAGATATTAATGACTTTTCTGGAACGGCAAACAAATACCTGTCCAAACTGAAGGGATATCTCCGAAAATCAGTCACTTTCACCCTATGGCATACTTATAGGAGGTTCGCTAGTTGGGCATCAGAAACAACTGTCCAACTATCTGAAAACGCTGCCAATGCACGAATGTCAGGTAAATCCGACTGCCGGATGCTTCGAAGAATTGCAATGAAGGAGTGAAATTACCTCGAGAATAGAGACGGCAGCTCGATAAGGTGATAATGGGGAAAGATTCCGCTTTCTTTATAAAATAATTATACCTCAGTGAACGATAAGTGAAAATGTAAGAGATAGCAATGGTGTGCAGGTCAAGAGCCTGTATTAAGGATCGCCTTATAAGATGGAGGGAATTCTTTGAGGCCAAACTTAACCATGAAGCACTATCTGTGCACCTTATATAGCTGATAACTTCGTCGAACCATACTCTCAATTTCGAGGTTCCGACAGAAAAAGAAAAATTCTTCGTTATCCATAAGCTTAAGGCCAATAAGACAAGATGGTCTTCGGGC